TAAAGTGAATAGATCGATGGATGGAACGATAAAGTCTATGTAGCTGCCGGACTGTAAGATGCTGGAGTTGCTATAGGCATCGGCGACGTCGGCGTGGCGAGCGGGCAGCAGAGAGGCTTGCACGCCCCATTAAATGCCACTCTCTATGACAAAGCCGGCAGTTTGCTCTTGGCGTCCATTTCATCATCCGAGTGCTCGAACCGCATGCAACTTCTTTAACAAGGGCTTTAGCCACGCCTGCGAAACTCCTTATTGTCGCGAGACGCTCTCGAGCGGACTCTCGGGAACAAGATGATCTTGCTCGAGGGGGTAACTACATATATGCACAGAGACACGTTTCTACAGGGAGCATCGCGCGCGCGAGAGAGAAGAATGCGAAGACATTAGAAAGAAACGAGCTCTTCATATGATAATAGACAGCGGACGAGATCTCCATCCTTTCTTCAGAAAAGCCCACAAGCTCGGGGAAAACGCTTGCCGGTAATTCCTCCCGCTAGAGAGATGGCGCTGCCTCCGGCTCATGAGCGTCGGCTTCCGAGATTCGGTCGGCGGATCGGAACGCGAGTGGAAAACAGGGGAACGACCGTCCCTCGACTTCGAGGGCTCCCTGAGCGCTACAGCAACTCAAATGTATCGCCTCCTCGTCCCAAGTCCTCATTTCGCGCAGCCATCATGCTCACGTTCACGTTGAACTTCTCGGCGTGTTTTCTGTTTGCTCATAATTCCTTGCTCGGAAAAATACCCCTCGCTTGATACATCGAGAACGCTCTCGCCTAACGTCGACGTCGGAAGATGACGGGCTTCGACGGTTTCTCTGTTGTCTCTCCGTGCAAGCCGTAGGTCCCCAACTTGATCAATGCATGAGACGCGAAACCAGACTTCATTGTGCACTGGCGAAGCGGCGCAGATGCCGTCACGCAGAATGAAGTTGTCTCTTATTCATGTCGCTCGCCGGAACTTTTAGTGCTCAAGACCGCGGCTCTTTATATAATGTCGGCGGCTGGGGAAAACTTCTCAGCTATCCTGTTTGCTCGGTCTTTCTAGGTCGCTTGTGAGAAGAAAAACGCTCAGACAAACGTTCATCGTCCCGTGCCGGATTGCGGAAAGTCATTAGGCCAAATAAACCGATAACACCGAGAACGACTTCTCCCCCAGAACAAAGCTAGAAGGAATCGGCTCTCCGTGCAAAACGCCTCGTTCTACAGGAATTATACGTGTTCCACTGCGCCGATTGTTGATCTTCTCATCTGCGACATCTCTGCGTACTTTTTGCAGCGCATGCACCCATTCTGAGTTCGAAACTCTTTATCTTAGAGCGAGTGGAAGCTTCCGGTAATCCCTCGAGTTCGGATACAGGCTAGGGCGGAGTCCTCGACGTTCCGAATTTCCCAATTTGAGTAAGTAGGTTCTTCCAGGAAAACGATCCGAGCGACATAATTTGTTAGGATCTCTCCGTCCAGTCATCCATCCGGCAGCCGGCGTCCCCGAGCATCGATCCGAAGGAGGGAAATGAGCTCCTTCTCGACCTTGCTGGAGTGAGTAAGCCGTGCTGGTTTGATTTGGAATGAAAATTTCGAGTGGGAGAATTCCCACGCTTGAGATGAAATACGCTTCCACTGGCTCAGAACCCGCGATTGCTCTAGCGTTCGTCGGGTCAGATAGAGAACGGGTAATCCGGGATTATAGCTCACAATCAGATTCCAATCAAGTTGAGACAACTCTCATCGAACGTCGGCAGGACCGCGGTCGGAGCCTCTCCTGGAGAACCCATCCAACTTGTCCCGAGCGCATGGTCGGGAATCAATAAATTCCCATCGTCATGACAGTAACCCCCCATCCGAAGAACCCTCACGTGACCCCCTATTCGGAGCAGTGTCATGTTATGGCCAGGCCCATTCCGGGGTGATCTATCGCATCTAAACACTTTCGATACGACTCTTGAATATCAATCTCCACGAAGAATGAGACCTGACGTCCGTTTTTTGAAGGCTCGGTTGAGATTCACAGCCAGCCTGGAGCTCTCTTTCAAAGAGAAAATATCGATTGCTGATCCCCCTCCGATCATGCTCACTTTTCAAAGAGATCGGCTATTCCAGTGTGCCTCGAGTTCTATCGATCATGCACGCCACGCTGTTACGCGACGCAGACTTTCGGCACCGACTGCGCTCCGAGTCCCTGTACCACGGAACACGCCGTGGAGTCCCAGCAACCCCTCCCTCACAACACTCTCGGCTAAAGACGAGACTATTATATTTGTGTTATCTAGAGCACAGAACAAGAGTCCGGCCTTTTGCCAGTGTACAGAGCTCCCGAGCTCAAACTCAGGCATTGTATCTTTACAGCTGCGTTTAATATGCACTCTCGCGGTCCTCCGATAACGGCCTTCGAAACTTACGGTCTGATCTTCGGCTTTTTGGTGCGCATAGCTCGCGCGGCGGCTCAACGAACACAAACCATTTGATGCATCGAACTCGATGAGAATCGAGACGGCACGATTTTCCCCGGGACCAGGGATCCATCCATAGGAAGGAAAGTGAAATTCTTCTTGTCTCTTAATTGTCCCTGGTTGGAAGCGGCAGTCCTCAATTAGGCACTCATCCCCTGAGTTTCGCAGAGTAAGCATATCGATGATCCGTCCCGCATCTCAGAAAACACTCGGGAGCAGCTCCAATGCCGACCGCAGAGGATTTCGGGAGTTCCCGCAAACACAAAGCCTGAGCTTCCATAAGAAATTAGATAATAGGGACGAGCTCTTTAGGTGTCTGGGCCGTGACATAGTAACGTGAGAGATACATGTGAGATGCTCGAGGCGCGACAGTATCGATCGGAGAACAATGTCCTGCCGCTGCCAATTGCTTCGTTTTCGAAATCGCTATGATGACATCAGCAGATGGTGACGCAAGAGATGATCGCCGCTTATAATCGCCGAACTCCATCCGTGGGAAAAGTCAACGGCACTTATAGCGGACGAGCGTCTCGACTCGAAATTCATCGGCGCCAAGCTTTCTCTTCGCCAGACTCCCCTATCCATAATAATCTTTCAATTCCGCTTCCGGTGACCAATTCGTTCGTGTATCTGCTCACACATGAACAGGTACTCCGGAGGGAGTTCATCTTCCCGTGGTGATGGTAATGCCGCGTGGTTCATTAGCATACTGACGGGGACACAGTAAGCTTAAGCGATTCCCACAAAGGCTGTGTCACCTCAGTTTATGTAGGAAAAATAAAGCACTAGATGCTCGCGTCGTAAAACGCGGCTCAAAAAACTCTATAAATATTTTGTTTCTGCCCTCACTTATCCTGACGGCAGTCCCAACATGTTCAAGATGTGGGGCGCTGCAGCAAGCACCGGATTCGGACCCTCGGCGTCAAAACTTTCGGAGGCTTCCGGTGACGTCCTTGTTCATGAGTCCTAGGCACTTGAAGCACCCTCGCGAGATTTTCGTCTTCTATCATCAAGGTCATGAGGAACATCGAGGCTCGATTGAGGCGATCGGGAATCGTCGGAATCTCCTCACCCATGGCACCCAAGCCCAAATTATCGGTTCAGCGAGAAATTCCTCGTCGATTCACAGAGAAATATTCATGACGTCTGTCTTCTCAATAAGTGGCAACGTCTCGAACGATGGAGAGACCGTTGAAAAGGCTGCGCGACATATGGGAAGCGAGGAACTCTAGCTGTCGATAGTCGTAAGCGTCCCGTTCAAATAGGCGGTGGCGAAAGGCACTATCCTTCTCCTCGCTCCGAGACGAGCGCCGATGAATTCCAGGGCTTGGCAAAATATCTATCTCGATCTAAATATAAGGTCGCGCTTTGTTCAGAGGAAGTCCGCGACAGTTTCGGTCTGAGGAATTCTCCTACCCGACCGCTTCAATTGAAGCGCGGAATTTCTAGTTTTCCACCACATCGGGAGAGTCAGCAGCCGCAGAACAGAAGTATTTTCTTCTCCATCGAAGGGCAGCGGTCTCGATGGGAGCCGATGGGTCGGTCGCTGGTTCAGAGACCCAGAGCCGTTCCAATCCTGCTGCTATTGATACACAACGAACCCTGACCACGTTTCCTTTTGTCTTTCTCTTTGTTTCTCGGTTTTGTGCTCTGCCTTTCCGCCGCCCGTTTTTTTTCCTGTGTTACGCTTGCATAAGACGCGAGCTATCCGAATCGAGAAGCGTTCTCAGTCATGAAGGCGTACTCAACGACTGGATCTCACGGAACACAATGTCGACCGTGAGTGCTTCCTGGAGCATTGTTTTTATTCATACCGTATTTTCCTTCTCCTCGCTCGCACCGCATGCCGGAGAAAAGAACACACGATCCCGTGAGTTGCTTCTCGGACGTCAGGTGTATCCCGACCGCTCCGGGAACGTTTATGAGCAGTGATTCAGGTGTTCCTGAGTACGTGATCCTACCGCGTGCTCCAGGCAGACCCCCGAAAACGTTTTTCTAAGCAGGTTCCCATCCCGGGCTGTTCTAGCAAGTTCTGCACCGCACAGGTATCTTGCAGGGCAACCACTTGAGCGTTCTTGCAGCCGCAGTCATGAGAGCGGAGTTCGAGACGCAGACTCTGATAGTAATCAATAAGTTCGCCTGGGTATACGGGAAACCTAGATCATGTATCCTTGAGATATGGATAGACATATCCGACACCTGGAATTTTATATCGCACGAAGAGATCGCTCCCCAGTCGGAGCGATGACCCCCGATCGATGAATTGCTTCAAAAATTCAGAAAGCCTCATGAAGGATCGCGCACCAGGATGAATCACTCGGTATATCGCGGATGTCACTCGGAGTCTATGCAGATTGCTCCAATGATCTCGATCGAACGATATTAAGCGCAATTCACCGCGTCCGCCCCTCGCCAAACGTCCCCACCTGTTGGAGCTGGGGATCTCGCACGGCAATGATCGCATCACGGAAAAACTTCGAAACAAAGGTGTGTTGGGATGGATACTCTCTCGCTCGCTTACTACAAGGACACAAGCCGATGCTGATGAACTCACCTCTCTTGCACGGGCTGAGCTTCTGCGATGGCGACGATCGAGGCTGCTGCCATCGCAAGGACGAGGCTCCAGGACAGAGGAATCCCGGCCCTTCGCTTGACACCGGCCATTTCGGCAAAGTGGAACGGGAGACCTTGATGCGTCGCGTCGGTTGCTGACACAACGTAGAGACTTGTTGCGGACGTGCGCTCCTAGCTTGCGATTGTCTCGAGCGACCGTTTGCGAGATTCACGAACGTGATCCTGAAGCTATACGGCCACGAGGACGTTCTCACTCCTATATAGTCCTGAATGACGTCACCGAGCAACCCTCGCCACACCAGAGGATCCGCCTTCTGAAGGCGGCCGTTGTTCCCCTGAAAGACAGCGTATCGTAACCAGAATTCCTGATGAATTTCAATTCCAGCTCAACTCACCGATTAGTGGTCAAGATCCTCTGACGCCCGTTGCGACCACGCCGGCGCCGCCTATTTCCCGACGACCGTGAGGCGCCTGCCGCGGTGAGACCTCTCTTTGCGCGTCACAGGATCCTCTCAAGGAGGAGAAAGATTTCGGAAAATATGTATTCCCTCCAGTTTTACCCCTCATTCCGGAATATGAGGTTCTGCATGTGTCGAATAATTTTTCCCCGTTGAGAGGCTCCCATGAATCTTTCCCGGGGACATCCGCTGTTATCGTGTCCTGAGGAATGGCCCCTCTCGAATGTTTCCTGAAGCCCACGCGGTGAGGGAAGTCGGGTCTTCCCCGAATGGCTTTCGGGCACATTCTGAATTCTCGTTCCCACGTCAGATATGCGTCGATGACTTTTGGCCGCATGAGAGTGTTTGGACTCCTACTGAAAGAAGTGTCGCGCCCACGTAAATTGCTTCCATTTGAATACAATGACGTTAGCGGACGCGTCGATAAGCCTTGAGTGAGGCACGTTATCGGCAGGATCTCGATCATAAAGTCTCCAGAGGTCCTCGAATCAAGAATCGCTCTTAAAACTGTGAGTGGAGTCCCGCCGAACAGCATCAGATAGATAGTTACTCCGCGACGACGACGCTGAGCGATTCCTCGCGGCGTCCTGTTTCAACTTCTGCACCGCGTTTGAGGATTTATTACTTCTGTTCCTCTCCCGCGCAACGCGACAAACTTCGAATTCGTAGTTACCGACTAGGGGGGAAAGAGGGTGGTCTGTTCGGCGGAAAACACAACATCAAAAATCGATGGCCGATTCCAATAGCGGCGTATTCTACGTGTATAAGATATCTTTGAGCCGACACAAATGCAAGCGTACAGGGAATCCGATGCTCCGATATTCCCGTGGAAGAATCCAAATCGAGAAGGAACGCCAGGAATCCCGTACCGGTCTTTCGTCCTCATGGGGATCCGGAATTGAGGGGCGGGGGCGATCAGTTTCATCAGACAGTCTCTTCCAGGCGTCCAAAATTTCGTACTGCTTACAAAGTTTATTTCTATTTATACGCCTCGATTCACAAGTGGGGCTCGCTGATGTCCGATCGGTTTTCTCCTCATCCATGTTCAAATCCTTCTCTTTCAGCATACGCAATGTGGGCACGCACCCAACGGAGCCCATGGAACATTCAAGTCTTCGTAGCATTCGGGACGGCAAGCCAGCGGCGGGCAATCCGAATCTGGAATTTCCGAATAGTCGACATGAACATCTTTGCAGGCGAGCGATAGGGGCTCGGAGGGAAGCCTTCAACCATTCGGTGATTTTTCCCGCTTCGTGGCTCTCGATTCCAAACTTCCGAGCGAAGTCAAAGATCACAGAGTCCGAAATTCCAGACATAGTTCCCTGTTCGTCTTCCGAACGCAATATGGTTTATGCCGTTCTCTCGTCACTCCATGGTAGTTGGCACGAAAGATGAGCTCGCGATTTCACTGCATGTACCCGGACCGAATTTCAAGTAATCCGAGCTCGAGGCTCACACTTACTGTACAGGCATGTCTGGCAGGGTCCTTCCCAAACGAGGCGACCACCGCTCGCCGCGCAATACATCGGGTCGACGGGCACGCACATGTGACCAAGATAATAGGCGACACTCTGCGAGATCAAGAGGATCGGCAGAAAAATCGCCAAAAGTACAGAACTCGTCTTCATGGTGTCTGCGGTGCTGAGTGGCGAACGGGACTGCGTCTTCGATGCTCCGTCTCTCGGTCAGGATCTATCCACTCCTCCCGGATTCGTCAAGCTGCTTAAGTAGTCATTGACAGTATGAAAAGTCCGTGACTTCTGCCCGAGCGCAAATCGATTTCGTGTCCGGCGTGTCTTGATATGTTTATCAATTTCATCAATATTCCGTTCGATACGCACCTTGGATCGAACTAATCTGTGGAGGCCGCGGACGGTAACTTCTCGCTGCCGATGAGCTCACCGGGATCGACAGGCAGACAAATGGACACGCGGGTGCGACCTTTCGCTGCAGACTCCCTTAATCCTTATCCCTGACATCGTCGCCGGAGCAGCTTGGTGTCCGAGGAGTGATTTCTCGACTGTTGTCGTGATCGACTCTGACGTCCACTGGCGACACATCGGAATGGGATCGCCGGGCGCGTCACTTGCGACCCTTGCTCCAGGAGAAACGGCTTACGCGCCCCCGGTCCTGCCCCTGGCGCTCGAGTCGGATTTCCGCTGCAAAATGCGCGCGATGACCGCTGCCGGGTGCCTGGCGCTTTCCTCTTCATAATGCCACACCTGGAGTTGGGTTCGTTCGAAGCGGGAGCCCTCTCTGATCTAATGAGACATTGGAGATTGAAAGAAGTTTGGTGATCGATCCCATAGGTTTGGGATCACGGGACGCATCTCTCAAGGGAGAAGCCGATCACAATAGATTGAATCCCTCCCGCGAAATCTGTCTCGAAATCCGGTCGAAGACATGTTCCTTGTCTAGACTGGATCTCTTTCGCCGCCTTGCCTTACACCTCACCCTATCGGACCACAGTCTACTCAAATTTGTTCGAAATACTTGTTTTCTGAACTTTCGACTGACGCCCGATGCTGATGATGCCTCGCTTCCGGACCAACTCTTGCTCGATTCGAGTCAAGTGCTTCGGCTCTTATGAAACCCTTGTGCAATAAGATGGGAGGAGTCCCTTCGCTTGGTATCCGTGCAGGCCATTCGTATTGAGTTTGTATGTTATGGACTGTGAGAGAATTTTCTTGGCCGATATTTGTTCTTTGATGTCTCCATCGGGAGCCGAGCCTTCTCGACTGGAAGAGGCTGGCCCGACCGCTCCATGACTTTATGCAGCGGGAAGGGCCACATATCGCAATCATGGTTGGAATCAATCAGCGCTGTCTCTGATTATCGCGAAGAGCCCGAACTCCGTGTACTGAGCTCAAATATTTTCTGTACGATTCATCGGGGTAATTGACGATCGGAGTTCAACCACAACTCCTTCGGGGCGCAAACAAGAATCCAGGTGGCCTGTAATCAACGAATCGCAATTTTTGACTGTTCAATGCCTGTGGTGCCGTTTATCTCGTTCACCGTCTACCTAAGCAGGGACCTAACTTAGGTCACGTGGCGGCGTTGACACCTCGTCCCGAACCTGAGTCGGACGCTACCAGCGGGCGAGCAAGGTCCGTGGAGACCTCTCGCCGAATTCGGATTGAGGCTCGGAAATCAGGTATGTCGAGGAATATTCGGTGTCGTGCCGAGAACGATGCCGATGCTCTTTCCTCGCAAGACGCTCGGAGTCACCCCCGTCCCGATCAAGCCTTTGATCCATGCGTCCGTCAGGGATAGGCTCATGATTACTCATCCTTCATGTAGGTACTCCAGTCGCTTCCACCTTTCACCGAACCTCATGTGACCTCACGGTTTCAAGCATGCAAAACTGATGATGGAGGGTTAACACCAGTCCACGAATGGGTGTAGGCCGAGTTTGGAACAAGACGAGGAAAACAATGAGTCGAAAATAGAGGCTGACTTGTGGGTGTCTGGGTAAATTTTTCACAAGAACGAAAACATTTGTTTGATGAAGCGCATGGCGAGGACGCTATTGTTTCTGTACTCGTCGCCGCTCCCTGATCGTTTGTGACGGTGCAGGCCGATCTCCGGGAGCATAAAAAGGGATCTAGGTGCATCAAGGGTAGACGATCGCTTTTCCGAGCTCGTCCGGCATTTTCACCCAGTCTGCGGCGGTGATTTTCCCAGGCCCTTGACCTTCAGCCTTTCAGACATTGAGACAGTATTATGAAGAGATGCGATTTCTTAGCTATCTTTTCAGGAATGCATGATCGGCTTTATTCACGGGACATTCGGGAAATTGCAGCCTCTCGGTGAGAAGAGATCCGAGACTGCTTTCGGAATCCGGGACCCAGGGGTTGAAGGCCTCTCGTACATCACTGAGGAAATTTCAAGGCGATGTTCTAGGAATGAAACATGCGCGGAATGGCGCGCTGCTTTCGAATGAGGCGTCCTCCTCTCTTAGCTTCCTCTCTCCCATTTTCTCACGACACTGCTTCATCAGGTTTCGTGCGCTCATCTCATAGACAGGAGACTCCCTCAGAGGGCCGATGAAACGAATATAGCACCCATCAAGCATAGCTCATGAAGTAAGTTTTGATGAGGGAGCTCTCCAACAGGTTCCCTGGCGGAATAATGTGTCACGGGAGAGCGGCGAGGCTGCGATCCGGATCGGATCATTCATGAATCCAGGTTTCGGAGATGACCTGAACGCAACTATTGACTGTGGACTCGCTGAATCGATTTGACTTTCTTTGCCCGGAACGACTGTGACCATTTTGAGCTCGATGCTGGTGCCGGCACTGGAATCGGCAGTTCACCATAGCTCCGGGCCGCTCGTCACATCCCGTCCGCGCGCCTCACGCGATAAAGAGACACTAACTCCGTTCAATTTCAAGAAACCCGTCCGACCCTGGACGCCCATCGAGACGACCACGCGCTGCCTTATCTCTGACTCCCTCCTAGAGGTATGGAACTTCTCCGGCTCCGAAATGTTTCGGGCCTGAGTGGTTCTATCGAGAGATTGATGAATGCGTCGAGGTTAGTCCGATGAGTTACAAATCGAACCCGCAGCGATCAGGTGGAGAATTCGCCTGTCCGATACACCGCACCAGATCATTCATACGTGACTCTCTTCGCATAGATGGATCCTTTCAAGTCGCCGCTCCTCGAGACAAATGTCAAACACCGTGAATCGTATGGCGATTCACGTCGAATCGAGAGAGATACGGATACCTGTCTGCCACGGGAATCTTGCCGCGAAAGTGAGTTGATCCATGCGCGGAATCATGACTTTCTGCACCGAAAATTACATTTCTGAATTATAGATATAAATATAAAATGTTGATATAATAATAATTGAAGAAGCTGATCTCATGGTGACGAGCGTCCAAACTTCAAGGTTTGGGGTGATCCAGAGAAGTCTCATCCAAGTCGTCGGATAATAGCCGTCCATGGCTGGCAAGATAACGCAAATTCTTTCGACCCCCTGATGCTCGATGCAAAGAACGGTCTTCATCGATTCCTCAAGGAAGGCGTATGCGTGACCTCCCTCGATTTTTCTGGTCATGGACTGTCTTCACATTTACCACCCGGTAAAGGTTTTGTACGGCTTTCTCACCGGAATCCGTTGCGATAGGACGCATGGAGTCGAGCTGTTTTTGACACTTGCCCCTTGATTCTTCACACTCTATGTCGATAATTCATCCAGGCTCAATATACTCTCAGCACACGTACGCCATTGACATATTGACGACAGCGAAGTTCCTAGAATGGAACGAGTTCTCGTTACTAGGACATTCCATGGGTGGTGGCATGGGATTCTATACGGCGTTTCTCCATCCGGAAAGGTGAACTCTTGTCTCAGGGAAAACAGCCCGTGATTTACCATTCCAATGAGAAAATCTGTCGAGCGTTTAGTCACACCGAGGAAAGGTTTCGTCAATCGTTTCTTCGTTACAGGGTCCGGAAACTGGCTGCGTTGGACGCCACTTTCCCCTACTGGCATCCCACCTACTCATTCGAAATGACGATCGAGAGCTCCCATTCCTTATTCGAGAAGTTTGCCTCTGAGTATCTCGAAATGGGTCTCCCCAAACCGAAAGAATACACGATGGAAGAATATTTCCAAGCGGTATGATGCGCAGCCGAGCAGCTTATAGCACACGGAACTATTATTTTCAAGCTACGAGAAAAAAGAGGCGAATCGAGTTTGAACTGATTTCATTCTTCTCGGAGGCCCGACGTTTCGCATCCTTGGTCTATCCTGATTCTCCCGAGGGGTCGACCAACGAAGAGAATGCTCTGCTTCTGTTGGCGCGAGGGTCCACACCGACTTCAGGCGGAAAGTAGGTGAACGAGTGATAAGCTACCGATCTCGCATCTCGACGGATTCCAGAGCCGAGTCGCCACCTTCCTTCGCCGGGGAGAATCGTTCTCAGACCCCGAATACCCGGTATTTCTTCCAGGTTCGTCTTGAATCGGGACCCGAACTCGCGGGCATTTTTCCCCGAAATGTCAGGACCCTTGAAATTGCCTCTTTACCTCGAGCGCTTCGAACGAAAATCTCGCATGCTATTCCTGAAGCCAGATCGCGGCGTGAAGCATTTTGAGGTGGGAGATCATCAATATTCGAGAGAGTTCTAGAAGCCGAATTGCGTCGGATCAGATCCGAAGCATCCCATAGTAGTATCACGAAAGGGAAATTCTTCTCGATATTGTTTGTCATCCACACAGGAAACCTACGAGATCCTCGCTGATCACGCCCCGACCCATCTGGCTTCTTTCGAAATCGCCGCCGTGCCAAATGCGACACACCACGTTCATATGAACGAGCCCGGGAAGGTTTCTGACAAACTAGCCGATTTTTTACTCGATCCATGATTGGCTTGGGGATTTTTGTTCCGGAAACAGACTCCTCAGCATTGAATTAGCAATAAATTGACTCTGAGACTCAAATGCCAGGTGGATCAGGTGATTCCGCATCCCTCGGGAAAATCGAATCTGAACCCCGAAAATATTCCCATGATGACTCACTCATGTTCCCTCAATGGAATCTCATCGGTAGGCTCCTCCTGAGCCTCCCATGAGTGCTGGAATTATTGAAATTTGCGAGATGTCTGCCCTGTAGAATGCTGTCGGAGGAATGATCGTTCTCGACCGGAAAAGGAGGACGGAGGGAGCTGCCGGGCCATTCCGGCCCAAATGAGCGGAGGACCCGGCTATCCGGAGCCGGAATCAATGGAACCCCATTGATCGGGACTCTCCGGAAGCGATCCCATTGAGTGGAGGATCCCACCGAGTGGAGTTTACTGTACAGAACCTGAATGTGGAATCACTGATTGTGTTCGGAGAAGTACACCCCTGGATCAAAGTTCGTGATTCTGAGCCGAAGAGTGAGCTCGCAGCCTTGTCATATGCGTCAAGACCCCATGTTCCCTGAGTATCCAGAGGCTATGAGGATTTTCTTGAAGACGGGTGACGCTTATTCTCGTGATTATAATAATGACAGTAGTCGGACTTGGTTTTTCTCCAAGTCATCACGAGACGGCTCGTTCGAGGCTTGTTAAACTGGGAAGCGACGTAAGTCTTGGAAGTTCGGGAGGGCAGTTCCTCGACTAGTGTCCGACGGGGGAGATTACTCGGAAGGTATAAGGTTTTTTTGACCAGCCCCGAGATGCAGGTTTCTATGAAGCATGTTCGATCGAGTGAGTTCCGAAAGGCATACAAGAGAAGAGCTGAATGCCACACGCCGATGGGTCCCTTCGCGTGTTCGATTAAAGAGTGGGACGTTCACTGGAGCAACACTGAATAACTGAATCTCTGGGGCTAATATCGGCCGAAAGGAAACTTTAGAGTGTGGCTCGCCGGCGTGGGACGAGCTCGAGTACTGCCCGAGAATAAATCTGCTTCTTCGCCCCTCGATTCGCGATTCTTGATCATGGAAGGTACAAAGATGCCTCGGCCGAGAAGAAACCTCAAATGAATATTCCGGTCGCAGTCGCCTCGGGCGGCCATAGCCTCGGCGGTGCGAGGTAAATTGGTCCTTACGCCGTAGAAAGTGTTCCTGATCGCAAATCCTGAGCTAAGGAGCTTGCCTTGGATCTGCGGGGTCAGCGTCATCAAGCCCGGAACGACGCTTTCTCAAAATAATTCATGCCGAAACCAGAAGCGTGCAGACTGGGAAAGGGGCAGTGGTATGCTCTGCCCAGGGAGGCACTTTTCGAGGGGCGGCAATTCCCGATCGGCCGGCCGGACCTTTCGAAGGGACGGCGTTTCAAGGCGACTGTAGGGTTCCCATAGACTTAATGCTCCCGATGACGTGGACGGCATATTTCCGTTTGCTGAATGGTACTTGATCTCACTACGAAGCTCTGGATTATGCTCTTATGTCACGACGTCCACAACGACGATGTGCAATGATTGGGCTGACGTCCGTCGGCGCGACGCACTGCCTCGCTCAAGTAGAGTCCGAGCTTCGAGTCCGCGGTCTCCCGGATGGATTATTATTATCAATGAAGACAGGTTCCGGGATGTTTCGGGCTGATCGTGCCCGGAAGTTGCGGATCTCAGAGGCGACGGCTCGACCATCGAGCCCTTATTCATGGAGAGTCCAGCGGGCAGGGCTTCGCCCGCTCGAGCGCTCCCTCGTTTAGGAGTCCAACCATCCGGGGGTGAAGCTCAGCGTCGGGAAAACGGTGACAGCGTTGCTAAAAATCTCGTTCGCGCTTCGTATCAAACCACCCGATCGCTCGACAATACTGGAAATGCTTCTGTCAAGCTGGACACGTCTGCGAGCGGAACATGGATCATGGTCGAGAGCAGCCCACATATCGTGTCATGGCCTCCGTCCGTATGTTCATGACTGCAAACGACAATTATGGCTATTAGCGACTCGCGTAGAATGTCGACGCCCGGGCCACCCACATCGCTATGGAGAGGATCATTCCCCCTCTCAGCGACGAGACAAAACTCTGATATATTATATAGAACGAAGACCCCGGACTGGATCTGGGACTTGCGTCAATCACCCCCCCCCCCTTCGAGTCGCTTCCCCGCCCAAGATGGAACACAGGGCGAAGAATTTCACCGTCAAGTTATTTATTTACATAAAGGTTAAAAAATTTCTTCGGACATGCTCCTCAGTTCCGCCATCAAGGATTGAGTCCTCGATGGAAGCGCATCCCGGATCATTAGATTCCGAGTCTAATGAATCTCTAGGTCGATGTTCTCCGCTCCGAAAGATTTCTTGTGAGTCTCGAAGAGACTTCGTAGTGCTTGGATGTACTTTTTGTGTAAGTCCTGGATTTCCTCGATCGATGGGTCGGCGTTCTTCTTCACATGGATCGGAGCACCGATCACCGTATATATCGGTTTCCGGAACGGTATGAAGCCCCACGTGTACTGGAAAACGCCGCGTCCGTGGAAAATTGGAGGTGAAAATCCCAGCATTCTAGTTAAGGCTACTTGGATCTTGCGCACGGTCGACTCAGAGTCGCTGGGGCTTTGGTAGAAGATGTCGTTCTCACCAAACGAGAACACCGGGACGAGTTGAGCGCTGGAATCAAGGAAACCGTCAAGAGATTCTGGATGAGAATTCCCGGGGCCCAAACGTCTCGTGCATGGAATCCACTCACCCATTCTGAATCGCCATGCGAACAAAGCCTCGGCGAGAGTTCAGATTTAAGCGATACGTTTCAGGAACCGCGTCCAAGGCTTCTTGTGCTCCTCCGATCACGATGATGGCCGCGTTCCCTTTGCCCTTGTAGTTCAAGAGGTTGATGATCGATTCCCTCGACACCGAGCTGAGGCCGCAAGCCAGAACCAATTCTCGATGGAGCGGGAAGAAGAACTGGCCCTCCAATGTGAGCAAATGAGGAACGATTCCGGGGAACTTCTCAGAGAAACCCGTCGCTTCCGTGGCGAAATTGCTGAAGGCTCCAGCAGAGGTGATGCCATGAGGATGGTATCCGAAAATGTAGTTTTGTTCGGGATCCAAGTCTGCGGTTTTGACCAGATGGATGGGGAAGAAATCTCGGAACCAACGCCAGATCGTCCACGACCTTACCCAATTACTTCGGCGACCGCCTGATGAACGGACAATTCGATGAGAATAAATGGGACAAGAGCTCGTATCGGTCGTACGGTCCCCGACATCCTGTGTTTCGAAATCAATGAAGAACTCACCTCTTATGCAGGAGTTCATGTCCCATATGTACCACACCAGGTATACGAACAGTAGTACTCGAGGCACGACGCTCGCGTAGAACAAGATGTACACGCATAGTGAGATCGACAGAAGGCCGAAGCCGAAGAACGAAAACGAGAAGTAGATTGCGGCCAAGGTCTGCAGTCTTCGTTCCAATGGCAGCTTCAGAGGGGCCAATTCAATCCCCAGTGACGAAACCATGTCCACGCTGAAAGAACGTCGAGCTCATTCGCATTCTTCCGACGCTCACGAGCTGTCTCTTAAAGCGCGACGAGTTTTTAGTGTTTTCTCGAGTGCGGCCCCCGGCCTTCTCGAAAACGCCGGTCCCGGCGGGGAAATTTCGATGCCTACCTAACCTAACCATGTTTTACGCGAGGTGGGTGCGAAATTCCCGAGGAATCGGATCAGTGATCAACTTACCACAGGAAACTTTTCGCGGAACCGGAATAAGTAGAATCAGTAGCTTCAACCTCTCACTGATCGATAACGATTCCGAATACTCTTCTGGGGACTATTCACGCAAGGTTCTCAAGAAAATTTAGAGGGGACTCCGGACGAGCGCGAAAGCACATTGTGCTCAAAGCAGCTTGCTCAAACGCAAAAATCCGGGACAATGGCTCGTGCTCAAAATAGGTAAAACACATCGGAGCCGCTGAATGAGTGGAGACCTCTCGAGCGAAAGACAATCTCTACCGGAATCGGGATGATAAAGTGAACGGCAAACGCCTTCTCATCCCAGAGGTGTCCCCTCTCATGGCCCTGCTGAGACCGCTCGGGGTAAGGAAATACACAGGATCATTTTTTGCCATTGGTCTCGAGTGCCGACGCTTTCCTGGTCTGTTCTTCCGCCGGATTCTGTCGCATTTCCTGCGCACCGAATAAATTTTCTTCATCGGTCCTGAATGATGATGATCCGGTGGGGCGAGGCAAGCCTTCCGACTTTAATCGACAGCGCCTAGTTAGCGTGTGATTTTGTCGTCCGTGGTCCAGGTGTCACTCGGTCGAAAATCCAACGCGATCACTTGGGATCCCAATGGCGACGCTTGGGGGAGATTGAGAGGACTTTTTCCAGTGGGTCACCGATCACGCAAGAGCATTCGTTACCGGCAATGCCCAAATACAACCGAGAACTAGTTCCCCGGGCAAGCATGATTCGAGAAAACGTTCCTGTCCCGGGACTGGTTTCCCGGAACGAGGCATCCGGGGTCATTCGTGGACTAGAGCGCGGCAGCCGGTTAGGAAAAAATTAAATAAACTCACAAGGATTTATCCATGGCGATTCTTTCGACTTCACCGGCTTTCGAGGAACCAGAAGGCGGCCGAGACTGCCGACACACGGCGTGAGAGACTTGTTCGAATTGCCGCTCGCGACTGACGCGAACGCACACCTGTTTCTTTCCTAACTCAAAAATCGAGAGATCGGTGGATGACCGCTCGGACTCCGTGAATCGAGCCGTTATCACATGTTTCCTATTACATGATCGAGTTTTCAAAGCTGCCTAAGGGCGAGCTGAGATTTTTCCTAATGCTAGGGATAGAACCATCATCCGCAACTTGAGCATTCGAAACTCATTCGAGGAGAATGTTGTGCCGTTGCGGATTTCATGTAGGGGACGATGATCGCCACAAAAAAAACATGAGTTTCGCCACCGAAGAGACTCAGGAAATTTGTCCGACCGAGGCCGACTGAGAAACTCGCCGGGAATGCGAGGATCCACGGGATCCAGTGGCGTCCACAGGTTTCTTCGTGGGGGGGGGGGAGGGGCTAGATCGGGTCCTCGCATAGGGCTGATTTCCAACGTGGCGACCCGCTCCTATACCTTAGTAATACAAACTCTCAATCTGGAAGGGGGCTATAGCCCCTCTGCGGACGCGTCTGACGGGATCCAACGGGGATCTGAACGGGGTGGGGAGTTTTGCTCGTCTCTCGATCCAATAATACAATAATAATTGATCAGCTCAGAAATAGAGCTTCGCACGACAGTATCTTGAAAGAGGGACGGAGAGGACCTGGTGCGATCAGCACGAGTCCTGCAGTTCGATTGTCAAACAGAAGTACTCAAGCTGAGCTCTCAGAATCGGACATAGGGGCTTTCAGAACCAACGTCGTTTGCCTACGACGACCGATGATTTCAGAGACACATGATTATTTTCCTCCTTACCGCCGTAATCAAGCACCTGTCCCCGAGCAGCAACTCGTTTCAATGTAACAAGTGCCTTGAACGTCGGCGTGAGACGGTATGACGCGCTTTTGACGCCGCGGAAGATGACCTCAAACGCTCACGCAGCGGGGTCCATCGGCATGAGGTGAGCCGAATAAAAGGCCTAGCCGAGAAATCCGAACTCCTGAGCTCGTTTCCGAACTCGAGCACTCTCGCTCGGGATCCCCTCCCGCCGCGGGAAAATCTTCGTCGGACACCAGGACGCGAACGCGGATCCAGCTTGAGAACACTGGTTCACTGATGGGAGCGTAAGGGCCATCAAGGACTGCAATACTGCAGTCCGCGTCCGCTTTTGCCTCTCGGATCCCTCGATGATCTGAATCGGGGAATCAAACATTTTGCTGAATGAATGATCTCGTTGCCGAATGAGTTATCGGAAATACGACGAGAGCGATGTTGCTTCCTCCACCCCTAATCCAGACACTTTATGCTTTATGCTCGCTGGCGATGGTTGATGCGAACAGTGCGGAGTGTATCTGTTCCCAGCGACCGTGACTCTGCTTCGGCTGTCGGGTCTGGTGCGTAGCTGTTGGCCGCAGCCAGTTTTTTCCGCGAGGAGCCCGCAATGGAACGGCGTCTGGCGGCGGAAGGGTTTAGCGTGCTGAGCTCGTGATTCTTCATCTGCGGTTCCATCGGCTCCCCGATTTCGACCGCGAGACCTGTCGCCGTTGTACGACGGGGATCATCTCGCCCGGGGACTGAAATCAAGAACATCGATCGTGAAGCGGAGCCCACCGTATCGGAGACATTCCATGTCCTCTCGGACTTTATGACGGCGCCCAGATGATGGAGCATAAGAAAAATCGAGTCTTCATTCGACCTGAGTGATCTAGAGAAAGGTTCTCTGACGGCGAGAGCTGCATAGTGAGAGGGGAAGCAGGAATTCAACGGGAATGTACTCCAGCTCTCGCATGGTGCTTCGAACTTTGGCGGGCTTTTCCTCGCCAAGAGGAAGGGAAAGCGCGACCGGTGAATCGAACGCTGGCAAGGACCAACCTACCCATCGAGGGTTCTACTACATATATGTGAGAATCAAGCGGACAAGAGGGCATCTGCATAGTTGCAGAGAGTTGCTCCGCCGTGTGGGCGCCACAAAGAAATTCGAAATTTCGGTGTTCCGGAATCTCCTGACTTGGAATCGATGGAGTTCTTGATCGGTGGGCTGTCGTCCTGCGGAGCAGTTCTGGTTACGAATCCGCTCGAAGTGGCCAAAACTCGTATACAGCTTCAAGGAGAACTTCAAGCCCGAGGATGTTATCCGGTGCACTACCGTAATGTTTTCCATGCGCTCTTTACGATCGGTGAGTTCGAAAGCCCAGGATTCGGAGAGCGGCTTCGCGGACCATGGCAGTACTCGATATCTCGTCAGGCAAAATTGGATGTGCTCCCCGAATTCTTGACCCCCGGACTGCCACCCCCGGTTCCAAAGAAAGAGACATTGTGTGCCGCGAATCTCCGGATCGGCTCCGAACTGCTGCGACTTCATTGAGGTTCCTAGATACGGTGTCGATGGGAAAAGCGCGAGCGACAGAAAGCTCTTGTCGGTTCAAACTTCAGCCCCAAAGTGCTGGTACATGAATCTGTCCCTGTCTAGGTGTCTAGACGCTCCGCCATGAATCGGATTTTCTGTTCCTCTGGATCGAGAAAACTTAGAGCATGTACCCTTCCAGGAAGCAGAGATGGTGTACGTGCAATTCAAAGCGGGCTGGCACCCGCCATGTGCTATCAGTTCTGTCAGAATGGCTTCCGACTCGGGGCGTTCCAACTCATGGAGAACTCACACCTGACGAAGAATGAAGACGGCTCGGTGAATTTTCCGCGGAGCGTTCTGGCCGGAGCTGCTGCAGGGAGCGTTGGCGCATTCTTAGCGAGTCCACTGTACATGGTTAGTATATCCGGATGGAATCAGCCCGTAGATGACTCCTCATACAGTGGAGCCGGCTCAATCGGCCATCCAAATATTCGGTCAACCCGTTTCAATGGTCCCGGTCATATACTGTCCATGTTATTCGGACCCGCTTAATCGGTCAATCCATTCGATCGGCCATATCGGCCCAGTCTCGATGGGGGCTAATCCTCCGTCGGCAACTCCCCCTGAGCGAGTCGATATCCTCTCATCTGGACATCAGAGAGTAGAACTCCTCCGGTCTCGATCGGGGACACCGGTCGAGTTGACCGCGGTGTGACAGCTGTGTTGCCGGCTGAATCCCGCTCCCGTGCGATCCAAATCCGCCTCGTCAACGCGTCGAGATTATCTCGCGATCTTATCGCTTAGATTCCTTAGATCACGTCGAGACCGACAATCGCCACGATAGCGGCAGCAGTAGATAGCCGTTCGCCGATAAGCGTAAACAACTCCGCTGAGTTGTTGCTGCTCTGGACAAAAGACGGAGCTCGACCATGAGCCCAGACGGATGTTCGATCCTATCGTTTCATGAGAAAAATGATTTCAGATCAAGACTCAATTGCAATCTTCGACACGGATCCAAGCCATAGCAGTCGGCTTCCAACATCGTCACGTGTCCATGTCTGACGCTGTGGCAACAGCTTGGAGTAACGGCGGTCTCCGAGGTCTCTGGCGGGGCGCCAGCGCTGCCACGCTGAGAGTGAGCGCCGGAAGCTCGGTACAGCTCAGCACCTTCAGCAAAGCTCGCAGCCTACTTCTAGAACGCTTTCCGGTATGACCTGTTGATGCCCGCCCGGCTCGCATTCGTTCGCTTGCCGCGAGAAAGTCACGCAGACCTCAATTCTATGATTTCCGGGAACCTGGGCGTACGCAGATCAGATCGCTCGCCAGAGAATCATTTCGTGTTTCGCTTCCAGGCGCTTCAAGAGTACTCGATGATGGCGACATTCTTGGCCTCGCTCGTCAGCGGGAGCATGCTCTGCGTCATCATGACCCCTTTCGACGTAGTATGCACTCGTCTCTATAACCAAGGCATCGATCGGAGTACGAAAAAAGGTAGGACACTATTTAGAGCTCCGTGTCAATTCCGTGAGCGCCAACTAATGCAGCGCGGAATTCGCTATCCGATCACAGAGATATTCCAGAGAGATAAGAGCTTGAGTCTCCCTCGTCGAGATCCTGTGTGAAGCGTATCCGGTTCGCTTGCAGGGATGTACTACGATGGAGTCCTGGACTGTTTCGGGAAAATCTTCCGCTCGGAAGGACTGCTCGGTTTCTACAAAGGGGTTTCAGCCGCGATCTCACGCTGCGCACCCCACACTGTCATAACGCTGATGCTCTGGCAGGCGCTGAAGGACATCAACGAGGAGCGCTTAAGCGAGCGAGGTGCTCCTCCGACCTCGGCAACGAAAATCATCGCCCTGCCCGGACAATCTGCGGAACTGACCGCTTGACAGGAGCAACGGCAGTGATAATCTCTTATCTTCCGAACGTCGAGCTCACGACCACGCACAGTGTCTTAGGTAGATAGCGTTTTGTAGCCAAAGGTTTTTTAAAAGCCGAACGAAGGTTCAGTTCCTCCTCTACGTTCGAAAACGAGAGCGGTAGCTTCTAGTGGTTTTCATAGGAAAAACTCTTGTGTGACTGTGATCTGCTCAGAAGAGCTCATTGTATAGAGCATACCACTTGTGGGGAAGTGTTTTTTGGCTGCCATGGATGGCCGACCCTCGATGACGATGACTCGTCTGAAAACTGTCTGACTTTCTCCGTCAGCTCCATCAGTTCATTCATCGGCAAACCTATATGTATATGTACATTATAATAATGCTTCAATCAATGTTCTCGAATCAGCCGGTGACTCGAGAATTGAGAACCTTCCGCCCACCAAAGGTGCCCGGAGAGGCGTTCTCTCGTCGTTCAATTCACTCGATTTATCAGGAAGAGTGCTGCCCACATGAGGCATCATTGCTCAACTGCAACTTCCAACCCTCCTCATAGACTCATGTGGGGTCAGCAAGATGACCTAGATTGTTCTCAAACTGTTTCTGTTGACCGTCGGTCGTACGGATATTCCGGGCTTGCTCCTATCCTTATCGGAATCCCAGGCATTGTCTTTTTCGGGAGGACGGCGCACCCAAAGAAAGCGACCCTTTGCTGCGAACACTACTTATCAGCATGAGCCCGTCGATGAAATGCCTGGATGATGGCGGAGTCTTCTTATCAATAAAAAAAGATACCTGAATAGTTTCTCCTCGCTTTCACTCACCTTGAGAATATGCACTCGATTTAGCGTCCGTTCGAGATTCTTCTCCGCCTTGATCCGCAGGAGCAGGGAACCATTAGACTGATGCAGCTGAAAACATGCTGCATCGCGGCATCCTCGCACCGGAGGATGAGTCGAAAGCCACCAAGGAGCTGAGCGAGTCTCTCCGGCGTTCCTCGCGAGCGTAACCTCACGGCCTCCCGTGAACTCTAACTTTTCGAAACAAAGTACGATGAGCTCCCTCCCCTGGGCTCAAGCTCGGGAAGACCCTGTCCAGCCCGCTGAACGCGGGACTCCCTCGGAAGCTCAATTCGGAAAGCCGGGTAGATACTATATGGAAATCGCCCATGAGATCGGGACTCGTTTCGTTCTGGAATATTGGACAGAATTTCAGAGCCAGCCTCCTGTCTTGAGCTGAAATCGGAAGAGCGAATACACTCGACTCCCCATTCCCTTCATCTTTAATAGGGAAGCTAATTGCTCTGAAGACAAACTGAATCTTGCCGCTCGTTTCCCGGAGGGCTGAGCATCGGAGGAAATCGGAGGGGATCTGAGATCAGTTTCGCCATGCCGACGATATCTGGGCCGTAGCCATTGACAAAATCGCTTCTGGAATCGATATGGCAGAACTTATGACTTGAGACTTTATGAAGCGAGAGTGGAGCTGTTCTGGCTTCGTGAATGGAAGATGGGTGACTTTCCTGCTCCCGCGGAGCCCTCCAGTACCACCACAAGCGAGGCGGCATATTTTCGTTCCTTCCACGTTTAGGAAACTCCACGTCCCATATGATATTTTCCCTCCTTCTTCGGCGTTCCATGATTACTTTTGGGGCTCGAAGAACCGGGGTCGGAGTTATCCGAGGTTTGGACGATCGCGAAATTGGATGAGCTGGATCCTAGCAATCGAAATGTTCCCCGCACGTAGTCAAGTAGGTCCTTCTTCCCGCATTCTTCTTCCATAGGCAGAATCAGGAGAAACGAATGGAAGTTTCGATCGATTCTGAGCCACCCTCGTCGAATTCCAGAGGAGCCTGGTGATCTGGTTCACTGTCAGTGCTTTGTTTGCGATTTTTCCTAAGTCTTTGTGCCAATCGGATGAACACACGGGGGATATCGCCGAGGAACAGACAGGAGGTAAAACCTCTCGACTCTTCCCTGGTCTGAGATTGGACGCTGCGAAAGATGACTCGGAACAAATCGACCCCAGCAGTGCTCACATCTTCACTGAATTCGGAAGTCGTTTGCGCTTCGAGGTCAGTCCGGTCGGTATCCTGCACGATCCAAGACAGATGGGTCTGCTGATCAGTATCGTGCATTTTGTTGGATGCGTCGTTCAAGACTGAGATCGATTCTCCCGGCTGGCGGCCGGTCATCGCATTCTCATGGTAGTGTCATTCATCAGGTTTTCGGATTGTCTGAGGGGAGACCGACTCATGAGGAAACCAGTCGAACAAAACGCGAGGCGAAGGATCGTCGAAATCGTGAGTATTCAGGCCCAAATGCCGGTGACAGACATCAGTGATCCGACTCAATTGAATTATGGTTCTTCGATGCCCTTCATTTATGTCATCGACCCTGGAGATTCCAACGCTTTATCTAGGTGTACTCTCGGAACGTGCCGTCGGAGATACCTCGGAAGATGGGGAGATAGAGGAGATCTTCCTAAAACACTTCGGACGAATGAGCCCCGGGAACATGGCTCGCGTGATCGACAGGATGTGGAATCTGGCTCTGAGAGACCGATGAGAGGCCGAGAGCTCCGCTATATGTCTTGTGTTTCTACGTATAATTTTTTTCAACTCATTCGCTTTGTAGTCTACTTTTACGGACGCGGAACGTCCACGAGCGACTGGAGTCGAACGCCGGAATGACGTATTTTGTGGTAGGAAATAAAGCTCAAATCAACGGTGTGGTAGCGCCGGGATGTCGCGTTTCTTCGGAGGGCTCATTTGTTCCGTGAAGGCGTTCAATGCGCAAGACGTCCCGCTCGACGGGGGGGGACGGGTCTCAGAGCTCATCCGGGGGATCGGCCAGTACTGAGGCTTTCCTTCTACTGCTGCAGTTCTTGAAGACCGAACGTCTCACGTGATGCATCGACAAGATGCTCGTCTCTTTCGGCATAATATGGTATGGCCGGGCGATATGCTGCTGTTCAGCGGGCTTCTGCAATCGGGGCGGGAACAAGCACGTTCCTGGGATGAATCACGAGTATTGACGAGATTGAGAATTATTTAGCGTAAATTGATTGTTAGTCCGAATCGATCTCCAGGGTTCTCACAGATGGACGGGGCCTCCGCCTCCGTAACCACCGATCCCCCTCCCAATACCGCCGAAACCACGTCCGAAGCCACCTTGGCCACCGAAGCCCTGGCCGCTATAGCCGTATCCTGCGTATGGGTGGTAGGTGAATCCATGACTGGGACCAATCGTCGCGTTCGGAAAACCTTTGTTCGCGAGAAAGCTCGACAAACATATGCATATGAGCAGCCACCACATTATACCACCGAAAGCACCCGTCCCTCCCGGAATGAAATCATCATCATCGTGATTTTTTTGCCAGAAGATTCCACCAGTTTGTACTCGACTCTGCACGAATTTGTCACGACACATCCCTGCTCGTACCTGCAGTACACTTGGGTATAGAGGAACTTGTAGCCCCGAGGAAGGAAATCGGTGTAACACGCCACGTGCGGCTTCCCAGCATCCGTCCATCCGTCAACTTTACAGTTGAGGATATCGCTACCGAGACATTTTCTCGATTGACAAACTGTGGTGGCGCTGTTGAAGTTGAGATGCGAAATTCGCTCCGGATCCATCAGATCCGTCCGAGTACCGGGATTACATTTGGTGAAAGTTCCAGCTTCAGTCTCCAGACCCGCTTGGGGCATAGTTCGCTCGGCCACGGAGACCGAGCTCACCGTGAAAGCCAAGATCAATTTCGTGAAGTTTTCAGACGCGTTCGTCATAACGACCGCTGATTGGAGACCGCTTCAGCGCTCGTGTCGGGCATCACGCATTCGTTATCGCTGCGCTGAAAATGACTCGGTCATCGATTATTCGCTTCTGTTCATCGTCAGATCGTCGATTGGATTGAGCGGGGAAAGTTATGAGAAGCTTGGTGATTCCTTAGCTCGAGGAAATTGATTCGTGTCACCGCGAGGCTTCGCAGTAGGCAGATAGCCATCCAGTGCCATTCCGGGAGAGCTCATACCGAGCTTCCATATCGAACACGAGAATTCCATGAGACTCACTTCTCACTGGACCGAGAGAGGCCTCAAAGACTGATGATGGGAACTCGGAATCGGAGGGGAGGAAACGAGGATGCCTGAGGTGCGGAGGGATATCACCTCGGCCGGTCAGCAAATGCGTCTTCTGGGCTTCGGTCAGAATTTCGCTCCCCTGATTAAGGGTTGGTCTCTTTCGACGGCGATGGAGCGTAAGCGAGATGCAGAATAATGATCGTCCATCTATCTTCGCGTAGGCTCGATGAGATCTCCCTCTAGAATGTCGGTGGAGAGGAAGCTCTTCCGTTTGTTGCTAACTCTATGTCCAGTCTGTGTGTGCTGCTCCTAATGCAACTCTACTCTCACCAGCCAGAGACCACGAAGGTGTCTGTGTGAGGTGGCAAAGGGATGCACGACAGAAAAAGCGCCGAGCAGGTTCTCTGAGCGAGAAATCACCCCAAGATTCTCAATTCACAAAAAAGTGTTCATTCTATTTCGGTCTAGCTCAAGGCAGGAATCTCTACGCGATTGCTCGATCACCGCCCCGATCAATGGGTTGATACCGTGATCGCTCCGACGTGAATCCCGACGGTCTTCCGTGAGCCAAGGCGCCGAATCGAATACAACATCCTTGTACCTCATCAGTCAGATGGGGCTCAGACATCCACTCATGCTTCGAAGGTCTCCCCTGGTCCATTCTGTTGGAGAAACCCGGGTCGGCGGAAGAACGTGCGGAGGATTCTTCGAAGGATGGCGGTTTTTGGATACCACTCGTCTTGCTTTTCGGCAGTTCACATTTTCTGCCTCAATTGAGAGGAGCTGATTCTGTTCGCGACAGGACGGGGCGTGAGATGTCGAGAGGGTATTCTTCTACGAAAACTGTCTCCGATTCCAGAATCGCATCGTTTTTCGGCGGATCGCTCGCTTCAATGCATGATCATGCGCAATCTTCGGAATTCATCAAGAAGGAATCTCGTGTTCCCGAATCATCCGAGAGACTCATATGTTTTCAGATGCTCCATGTCCCTGCGCGGAGCGAGATCAGCCGATCCGATGGAGGCGGATGAGCTTCAGCGAGATCATTAGACACCGGATTGCGTAAATCAAGCCAGTTGTGAGTGCCGCACTCTGGAATATCGGGAGACCCGGAATTATTACCCCTCCATCGGAAACATAGGCAGTCTGGATTGAGATGATTATCCTTTTTCCATCACCCGAACCAAGGCTCCATCACGACCAGCAACCAGTATGGTAAACGATTCGAAAATTCCTCAAAAAGGCTTACCGCTATGACCAAATTGAGAACAGTCTCCGGGTAAGTAGTGAATATGGCGATCGAAGCACTCATATTGAAGACGGCAGTCGAGAACGTCGCGAGCATGTACTGTGAACGATATTATATATTGAAGAACGATAATTCAACAGGTATTCACGAGTCGGAACAGAAGCAGGCGATTCTCTCGCAGGGGTTTAGAGATCCGGTGGATAATCGAGACACTCACAAATGACGATTGCTGCACGGACGAAGCGTCGAATTCCGAGAGTGTCGCTGCGAGAATCATGAGGAAGTCCACGTAGAAGAAGCAGAAAGAGTTCATGAGAGCAAAAAGAAAGGTAGCCTTCGGTGCCACGTAAATCACGAGATCCGTTACTTCGTATTTGTGCGTTCTGGAGGATGCCGCCACCACAAAAGTGATGAAGCTGCTCAACTGTAAGAAGGTAGTAATGAACGGATGAATGCCAGCTGTCTACGTCTACCCATTACGACTCGATTGTCGATTCTGCACGAGAGTTCGAACCTCTGTAAGTAAGAAGAGGACTCACCATTTGTACAATCGTATATATACCCCATTTCGATTGGATGTAGTCGTAGGAGAATCTGAACTTGAAAGATTGGGGCTCTTTCGCTTGGTTCTCGGGGACGAACCTAATACCGTTCGAGTTTGACGGCGACGCCATCATCAGCGGCTTTTCGATCAGGAACTGTAACGGAACGAAGTGCCAATACACCAGACTGCGATTTTCGAAGCCGACCTCCAGAATTTCACTGGATGAGATCTTGTTTCGACGAACTAATGAGAATTCCTCTCTTCGGGGAAGAATGACTCATGACAGGAAATTCGGTTCAGAGCTCTGCTTTCGGGGCGTGGAAATCCGGACGCCGGCTTACGTGCGAAATGTCTCATCCGGCGAACTCTCTGATCAGGCAAGCTCGGCAGCGAAGGGGTCTTTCCGCACAAGTCATCTTAGAGATACTCGTTTGTTCCGACAGAGTAAGAGAGAAGTTCACCAACAGCTGTTTTCGAACACAAATAGTCAGTAGTCAGCTCTCTGCTCGCTCATGTGAGAGCTTCTGCTCTCGACAACATCGGCTCGGGAGAGGGAAGGCAGTGTTGAGAGAGGATCGTCGGTTTCACGTGGCTGGCACCATACATTCATTCCTTCCTTCGCATGATTCCGACCTTTTCCATTTAAGGGCCTGCAGGTATCCTTCCTGGGTTCCAGTCGGCGGCATGAGAATTCTCATAAAACGGTGGACCTCGCGAATGACGGAGCCCTTACAGTGCAGTCCCTGAGCAAGGCGCGGCCCCGATGGGCAACAATTAGCAACTAATCCAGACCGATTGGGTACCAGCGCTGGATGTTCGGAAATTACATTCGGACGACAACGCGAAGGATTTTGCGATATGATTCTCGCTCGTTCCTAATTAGGCGCAGACCCGTTCAGAGAACTCTCTCACGACGGAGCCAAGTCGATGCAATGCTTTACGCTCGGGAATACTGCTCTCAACACGAACCCAGTGCTGCTGCTCAGCTAAAATTCCTTACAACGCCCATCCCGGGCTATTTCCGGTATAATTCCTTTTCTAGGTCCCCTTCCCCTTCCGTTGTAGTGACTGATTTTGACTCGGGTGAGAACGGGATGGCGAGAACTATCAGTGAGAAAATCGTCCTGTGGATTTCGCGAATCTGGAAGATCAGCGAGGACGAATCTGAGCTCAGGCGATGTGAGGACCGAATCCTCCACGGGGAAACAATCCGAGCGGGGGTTCGTCAAGGAGTCCTTTCAGGCGGGCTCTCCGGCTCTCAGTCGTGATTCTCGATCCTTCTTGTGAAGAATTTCCAGAACTAGCCCCACGGATCGTCGGATCAGGGCTATCCGGGCTTTTGAGGAGCTGACCTTTGAAGCATCGATCAATCGACTGCTCGCCGGCCGACCCTTTTCCTGTATCATTCAATCCGCTCTCAAGTATCCGAGCACCCTCTGAGAGCTGTCGAGTCGATGGAAAGTCTTCCTCCTGCTATTCGACTTCCCATTCTCTTCTCTCTCCGAAGATTGAGAAGTTGATCCGGAGACGAAGTCTGCCTTCTCTAGTAATTTTTGGAAACAACATCTTAACCTACCTCGTCAAACGGCGCGAGTCTGTCGTATAGCGCCGAGCGGAGCCGTGCGTCATTTCTTGTAGCTCATGCGACCGTCGCCGCGCCCTTTCTCCCTTCACCTCTGGAGGGAAATTTTCGTGAATCTGAGGAGAAATAGCTGAGCGCTACTCCAATGAATCAGAGAAGAGAAAGTTGGTCAGCAACTGGATGCGAGCTTCTTCCTCGAGCAAGACCCAGCGAAATTTCGGGGTTCTGTCGGGAGCCCCTACGCCATCAAAATGCATTCCGGTCAGAGAATTGTATCCTTTCACCGAATCATCGAGAACCCCCACCCCTACCTCCCCAATTTAAGCGCCCCTAGCGCCCCCGGTCGTTCCTTTCGCTATCCTGCCACACCCCTCAAACTTGAAAGAACCCCGGGCGATCTCACAGAAGCCTATCGGACCCCTTTTCACCCGAGCCACTCCTCAGTTCACGGGGTTACCCCCGTGGCTTGCAGCACCGGAGCTTCAAGCACCCGAAGCTCCAACCTGCCCTATGGCGTAAACCCCGCTGCTGAGCCGAGGCAGATCCGACGCTTTTCAGCCGTAGTAATTCATGTTGTCGGCGCCCCTCCCCTGAGACTCCCTCATACATCGGGCGACTCCCCTCGATGCGTGTATTGGATCCACTCTAGGGAAGTGAGCGGGGACTTGGAGAAAAATTCCTCCCCTCGGCGTTTCGCTGTGTCTTCTCGTGCCCTTCGTTTCTCCCGAGTCGTCGGCCCGGGGTAGAGGAAACCCGACAGGCAGTAGGGAGCGAGGGAGGGAGGAAACGACTGATGGAACCAGCCGGCCGCCCTCGCTCCCCCTTGCTGTAAAACCCTAGCCCGGCTAGTATGCCTTACACTGCCCGCCTGCTTACCAATCCCCGACAGACGGGGGTTCCATCGGCGGATTGCTTTGGCTGGCACAGGGGGATTTTTAGGGTTTATCGGGGTTCTCCTGCCCGTCCCCGGTAAGAGGGAGGGTGGAGGGGATGAGTGGCTCAGGGCTTACTCATCCCGTCCCCCGCCCGCTCCGGGTGTGTGGCACCAGCAGTATTTCAATAGCAGCAGTGTTTCTCTAAAGCCGCCGCTGCCTATGCTCCCGCTGCCGTCGCCGCTGCTGGCGCTACCCGAGGAGGGGATCGTCTCCGGTCAGAGTTGCCTGCTGGGCTGCGGCACCCCTTCCCCTCGGCTGGCTGCTGGTTGGCGTTCCCCTCACCCCTCAACCCACCCTCGTCCTCCACTTAATTGGCGACCCCTTCGCTTCCCCCTAAACCCCTCGGAACCCCATGCTAGAACAACTCGCCACGCGGCGTGTTACTCGTTCGCGCGCTCCTAAGAATTCGAAAACAAATATCACGGTCACGTTCTGCCGCGGTCAGCCTCCCACAGTGGAGCGCTCCGGGATCGACCGTTCGATCCGCGTGGAATTTCGGTCGAGAACAGCCTCCGGAATTGCGGAAACTTCATCTTTGAGATGAGCCCGTGACAATCGCTCAAGTCGGCGATGGCTCGCCGCTCACCGGATAAGTCGCCCTCGCCTCCAGTCCTTCCGCCATCGCAAGCCAGGGGTGGTTCGGGCTTGGCCGGGGGATCGGTGGACTCTTGGAGCGTGGCTCGGCTGAGGACGAGGGCCACGATGGTCTCGACGCAAGAAGCAATGGTCTGCACGTCGAACAACGTTTTAACGTCGACGATTGCCTCAAGTGAGTGTTTATCTAGTCGAAAACCCCCTGTTTAGCGCACTTCTAGCACCGAGGAACATTCCGGGGAGCCATACTTGGGCAAGCAGGGGAGTCCCCTACCTCGAAGCGTAGCCTGGGCAGGGGTTGACCCCCTAAGCCTAACACTTTCCCGAGACCGTGAATTTTCGCCGAAAATCGGTGAAAATTGTGGAACGAGCAACGTGACTAGCCACCAAAGTCGGCCAGGCGTCCGCTCCGCGTTCGAAAACTTCTCTGTTGTGATCTTTTTCTGCTCACCGATATTTTTCTGCCAGAGTCTCTGATATGACCGCAAGCGGCTCATATGGAGCCTCCGCGATCCCGGGCCTATGAGCTTATGACCATGCTGCAGATGAGAGCCGATCATCTGCATGATGTCATTTTCATCATAAGATGAATTCATAGATTCAGTCATGTTCGGTATCGAGCCGCGGAATTCTGCTGTAGGGAACCGTGAATGTTCTCTTTTCGCTTCGTCCGAAACGCGGTCTCTTTCTCGTGGTCTCAGGCAGACTCAGGTGGTTCTCGTCTGGGTGGAGTGTCTTCTCTTAAGCCAGAGAAGAAGAATCCGTACGCTCCGATTCGGAACGAAGCGGCGGCGCCACAGCCCGCGCTCAGAAAATCTGCTCTTCTGGCTTCTCTGCAGAGCTCTCAAGATGATGGTCGTCCTGAATTCTCAAGGTTTCCACTCAATCGTCCCGAGCTCAATTTGCGAATGATGAATGCACTCAAAAACCTTGGGACAGCTTGTTCTGAGCCTAAAGATTCATCTCAATTCGATGAGCGCTCGTATACCTGATGGCGGCATAGCGATGCTCTTGCGCCGCCGCTGCCGTTGCCTCCACCGCCATCAGCCTCCGCTGCGGCGGCTGCTGCTGCCACTGGGGAATGACGAACTCAGGAGAGCGTGACTCACTCTATCCTGAGCTCGAGAGAATGCCTCGTACGAGGCTCTCGCCATGGTAAACAATCGGACTCTTATTGGAAGAGAGCCGCCCTTGAGGACATCGGTCGAGATACAGCGCGGATCGTCTATTCGGACGTCGAATTTCCGGCGGAGGTGCTGGATCGACCTGGCCGAACACATGAACTTGAACACTTACAATTTCTTGAATAGCCGACACCGGTGTGAGATTTCGGGGGCCCTGGAATGAGTGCGGTGGGAAACCTTTGATAGCTGTTGAACTCCCGAAACAATGTCGGGAACGATTTATTAGCACTGTGAAGTCGAAGTTCCCCATCATGATCTCGATCGTAGAGGGCTGCGAGCAATCGTCTAAGAAATTCAGGGAGAAGAGGCTGAAAAGAGTTCGTAATCGATGACATCACTAACTTCATTCAAATTCCGTTCATGCAGCGATCTAAGAATCATAGCTCCTTGAAGTCGTAAGTCAATCCATCATTCCTGAGATGAATTCTTTTGGAGAGCTTGTCGGCATTTTTTGAGTTCCGATCGTTTTCATGCATAGAGCTTGATCTCCAGCGTATGCATTCCGGAGAAATTTCCGGAACTAACTGATGTTCTCCTCCGTTGGCCTTGAATCACTTTTGCGTTCGAGCGGAAGAAGTTCGCGAGTTCATTCTATGAATGATCCTTCTCGAGTCGACCTCGGTGGAATCCATGGTCTGCCCCGCGTGTTTACCCATCAGTTTTATTTTCTGTTCTGCACGGAAGTTCCGATCGAGTTCTGTTCCCGTTCTTTACCCATTCATGTCAATGCATCCATATCTCACCCCTCAACCCTTTTAGCCATCGTTAAAGCATGCCTTCGTTTCGCCACGCAGGTCAAAACAACGGCGCTTCGAGAGCGCCCTCAGACTTGACTGACAGTCCCGTATCATTGACCCCACGAAATCAAGGGCAGCTGACGCCTAGATTATCCTCTCAGCAGCTGCTGCAGCTGATACGAAACGGCAACGGAGTCGGCCAGGATCTTAGTGCAGACGCAGGCAAAGAGAACTCGAGACCTTTGGCCGGCTCTGGGCTTTTTTCAGCATCCGTTTATTCGGTAGACTCGAATTTAGAGCCAAATGACTCCGATGCTGAAGAGATTACCTCCGATATCCATCCGACTCATCCCGAACAGCAAAGCGTTTTGCTTCATGAACAACAACTCTACAACGAACAGCATCAGCAAAGGCTGCCTTCTTTCGGAAAGGTGAGCCCGAGCCGTGTGGAGCTTTCTGAATATCCTTTCCATCCCCGGCATCTGGGGATGCATGTGTACATTGGTTCCATGTGGTGACCGTTCCAATTTGTTTCCAGACTTCGGTGATTCGAGAGACGAGCCTCGCTTCGCAATACCTGCAATCTCAGCAGACCTCGCAATTCAAGCAAGCAATCGGCATTAATGTCAATGGACCGCAGGATTTGAAGGTTTATTCCTTGAAACAGGTGAGAGCCCGAAGGTCAGGCGAGGGGGGTGGAAGGTTCCCCTTCCTCCGACTCGCATGCAGTCGGGGCCAGGCGTCCACAGATCCTGACAGATTGTAATACGTATGATTACGGGAGCTAGCTCAGTCAGAAACGACTGCGGACCCCATCTTCCGCTAGCCATCCTTGACGCGTACGCTCCCATTCAGGAAGTTGGCTACTCGAATCCGGAAGATCAAGAAGTATCGTTCTCAAACGTAGGTTTGAATATAATACCAGGCCTGAACATACCGTCTTCGGCCGGCCTCAGTATTCATCCGATTAACGCTTCGTCAAGCGTGGCACACGTCCCAAACATCCAGACCCTGTCGAATTCGTGCTTGGGTCTCCCCCAAGGAACCTCCGTGAACGTCTCGTCGAATCTAGGAACGTTTTCAACACCCACATCATCGTCCTCTGTCATCATGGATCCTCAGCATCTCTACCAGGTGACTATCGGCTCGATACGGAAACTCAAAGAATTCCGAGCGAATTCTGACCTGAGAGCACTCGAGACGCGGGAATCGCGGATGGGAGGGTCGGAATATCGGGAATTAACTAACCCCGCATTACAGGTGGCTGCGGCTCAACAGCTCGTCTCGTTGGGTCAGGCAGCTGCTGCGGCCCACGGTGGCCAACCGCCTCCAGTAGCGGGCCTTCAACTACTTAATTACGCGAACCAGAACAACTCTAACGCAAACTCGAATAATGGAAGCAGTGAACACAATCTAGCCGTAGCATTGGGTGAGAGTCATATTAGTTTGCTGATACAAGACGGCCGTTGATTTCGCTACGCTAGCTCTCGCCTATCGGATCGGGATCGCCCGCGCGACCTCTATCCGAGGACGAGAGCTCGAGGGAAATCAACAGTCGGGGAGGAGCGTCCAATGAGCAAGCAGTCGAATTAAGTAGATCGACTTCCATTCTCGTTCACAGCTACGCAAAACGCGGGCAACAACGGCGAAAAGTCGTGGCCATGTCCATCATGCAGGATTCCTTTCGCGTCAGCGATCGAGCTCCAGGCTCACCTTACCACGCACACTCAGAAGCCGGGGCAGGTAAGTTACTCCCTGAGTTCCCTCTTTCGACTTCGGAGAATCTCTGATTGTCTTCTGCCGCGCCGCGGCAATTCGTCACGGCTCTTGGCTGGTTGGACCTCCCGAGAAATATGGCGATACTCAGGTGCTGCAGATTTCTGGACAGGTTGAAGGACGTAACATTCCGTGCGATGTGTGCGGAAAGTTGTTCGCGACTCAGGACCGTATGAAAGCCCACATGCGTTCAGCACATCAAACTGATAAGAATTGCTCGTGCAGCATCTGCGGATCGGGTATGTTGGAGGAACCGGATCGAATTTTCAAAAAGGAACACCAGCTTCATAATTTCCCAGGAACGAAGCATGGTCTTTGACGTGTGTTATCCCCCTGCAGGTTTCAGCTATCGCTGTAAACTTCTGGATCATATGCGAACGCATAGTGGAGATCGGCCATTTCATTGTGATGTCTGTGGGCGAGGATTCTCACAGAAGAACCACCTCACTCGACATACGATGATTCACACGGGAGAACGGCCTTTCTCCTGCGAATTCTGCGGCAGAGGCTTCTACAGGAAGGATAAACTCACTAGACACAGGCGCACACATACTGGTGAGTCCAAGCGATCGAAAGGTGAATGAAATTGAGCTCATTATCCGTGCGATGAAATCGATCGATATATGGAAACTGTTTGCGTAAACGGATGACGGTCGTTCATGGTCCGCCTGCTGGCTGCTCCCCTGTCCTCCGTCCTGCGGACTGGCTTGAATTCCCACGGGAGAACCTCCTCCTAGGAGTCGGATTCCCGAATGCGTATTCTGGATGCAGTTCACTGGAGAGAAATATCCACTGTCGCTGATTTTTATTCTCTTGGTTCTCCCGATAATTGATTTCCTCGCATGATATCCAGCAAGACTTTCTATCCCCGACTGATGAGAGACCTGGCTCTATTCCCCCATGCTCTCATGCACTGCACGATTCTTGCGATGGCCTGTCCGTATTTTCTGGCTACTTGAGAATTTTCCTCCGGCCCCGGTCAGCTGCTCCTGCTCTCAATCCCGGGCGAATCATCTCGAGAGGCTGCCGCTCGGGATGATCCACCCAAGAGGGGTGTCGATGTCGGAGCTGGCCCCTGCTCCGTAGGACCCAGATATCTGTCTCGAATCACAAGGAGCCGAGCCCCTAGTTTCGAGCCGGGGGGAACGTTGCCGGAAACCGCTTCAAGATTTCGTATTTGTCGAGCTGGTGAACTGACTTCCGATCAAGCGCGAGCAAATGTCGAGAGCGATATGTTTTGAGGATCGAGAGTGCCTTCCCCGGGAAGCTCAGAGAAACTTCGTAGAAAAGCGTCTCTCTGCTGCCGTTAGAGTATCCCGTTTTTCTCTTCTTCAATTATGACGCGGTTTCGAGCAAGCATCTGGAACTCGCTCTGTTGTGACTTCGAGTCCTCCGGCCGTCGAATTGTCGGTAGGGAATAGGACCGATGAAGTGTACGCGGAGAAACTAGTCACCGGGCTCGGTCGCTCGCCTATCCTTAGTTGAAGGACGACTTGTCCCCCCGATTCGCCTCGATCCCGCATTGCCACACAAGCTCCGGGTCTGCTCGCCATTCGTGACTGGCCTTCGTGCTCTTCTGGGATTTCCTCGGAGGTGCTTATGTGTTCATGAATCAGAGGCTCCATTAGAGAACTGTTGACGCGGATCGGATGCCGGCGCTCTGTAGCTATCCCATTCCCAATAGCGCTTTTTTGAGCTCGGAGCTTACGAACGGGCGACCGAGGTCTTTTTTTAGCTCTTTTCCACCCTGGACGTTGTTCCTTCCCCATCGAAGACCACGGCTCCTTGACTCCTGATGCCTGTAGCGTGTTCTCTGAGCTTCGTTCGCGAGTTCCATGGGTTGCCTGATTCTGCTGCGAGTGTTTCCCCATCTTGACCAGCTTTTCCTGGAAGCCGATGTCGGCCTCGCTCAGCCCTACGCCGCTTAGCTGGAATCCCCTCGAACCTCTCGATTACGGGGATGGGTCAAGTGAGGGAGGGGCGGAGATTTTCGATGCTCATCGAAATGAATTTACGACTCCTCGGTAGAATTACGCGGAGGAAGCCCGGCGGCGCTCCCACCGTTCGGATTCGATTCAACATCGTGCGATGCTTCGAGTCCAATGATTAGAGCCCCTGCTTCGATGAGGTCACTTGAGGGAGATGGTATGCCTTGTGCGGCAAAATTAGCTTGTTCTGCACGTCGGAAGCGCGTGGTCAGATGCGCGTGCGGTCAGTCAGTCGTCAGCCAGCTATCCCAGCTTGAGATTCATCCCGCCGACCAGCGAACGTCAGACGTTTTCATAAACAGTCCGAAATAGTGTAGGTTCCCCGCAAGTAACGTGTGTCCCTTCTCTGCCCCGCTCCAGGCTGGCCTCCGGGCGAGGCACCGAAGGCGTCGAACGGCGAACAAGTGGGCATGGCGCTTGCACTGATGAACCAGTCGGTTCAACAACCGGGCAACAATGGTGGCAACAGTGGTCAGCAGGCAAACGGGGGGCAGGTCGAGGCGGACGGCGAGCGACCATCAACCCTGTGACTTGCCACTGCGAGATCTGCGGTCGCGGATTCACCGAGAGAGCACATCTCGCTAGACATCATATGATCCACACAGGCGAAACACCGTTCATCTGCCCGGTCTGCCAGAAGGGCTTCTACCGAAAGGATAAGCTCAACGGCCACATGCGCACGCACACTGGTACGTCGACCATTCCAGCAGAAACTCGAAACGAACCTCGAACGAAAACATGTCCTTCTGAATCCATCAATCCTCAAATCGATCAGTCTTCACGTAGTGACTTCTTTCGCGACTTTCTCTCTTCGAGCTGCTCTCTGGTGTCTATCCGAAACCTATGTTGAGCCCTCCTGGTCCCCTCGAGCGGAATGACGTGAACCGTGAATGTTAGTAACACGCTTTGACTGTAGCTGGGATCGAAGTAGAGGGCGATCGTAGCAAGACTTTTGATTCCTCATCCACCGTTCCTCCATCTCGAATGAGAAATATCTTTCGTGAGTCTCGAGCATCAGAGCTATCCCGCTCTCGTTCATATTAGGCTCGCTCGCTCACGTTCCACGTTGCGTACCGGAGATTTTTGAGCGTCTCGAAGTGTCTTCCGGAGAGCATTTTTACCCTTGGCGGTTCCCTACTATACAACTCTTATTCCTGAACTTTAAAATCCTAACACGGTGAAAAACTCCTCGGAGCATCAATCAATAGGAAGTCCGCCAGAGCAAATGATCTACCTCTATTATGCTGATGAGACTGATGAGATCTACCCGGTGTATGTCCGAGAACATGTTTGAGGTCGGATTGCATCACCCGCGCGGCTCATTTGGTTTCGCCGGTCGCGTCGCTTGAGACAAAAAGCTTCTCTACCTAAACCCGTATATGATCGACTGAGTTCGAATCGATCGCCTTGTATGATCGACCATCGAGACCATCGACTGGCGAGACACATCGCTCAGCGGAGACGGAAGCCGTCGCTTTAGTCCTATTGTTTATCTCTCGTCGATAACAGTCCCTCACCATACGGGACCCCAAGCATATCCGCAAGGAGGGATCCTCTGGAACACTACGTACTTTACGTGCTTCGATTCCAAAGATATTCCATGCTTGATCTCATGGGTAATTATCCTTGGGTGAAGCCGTGGCGCGCATCGCGGGCTCTCGCGATCACCTCGAGGGAGGAATCCTCTCCTGGAATCTAAAGGAGATGGTTCTCCCATGAATCCTGAGAAAATATCCATCTCAGAAGTTCATCGATTGATGGCGGCCTACATTATTCTGATCGACGTCTTTGATGAGATTTCGGAAATGCGGCCGTGCACTTGCTCGTCTACGCCTGATCCCTTCCTCTCGTGAAATCCTCGATCGATTCGCTCGCAGTCTCGTATCATTCGCCGAGACGACCAGCAGCTATCGAACGGCGTTGTGATGAGTGAGAAGTAGGGTATCATTTTTGTTTCTAGTAGATTTGTGCTTGCTTGCTGGCAGCTTCTAAGTGCGCTCCTTATCATACATAGATTGGTTCATTTATTTTTTTATCCACTCCGACTTCAGCTTCTATGACACACCTTCCCGATTTCATCTGGTCCCGTGTCTTGTCGTAGAGCAACGAGTCTTAGTAGTATAATGATACAATGTCTGCGTGAGTGTTTGCGTGAAAGGAAGGAACCCATCAGCATCCCCGTACCCCATCCCTGCCCGTGACATCCACCGCCGCTGTTGATACTGCTACGGAGTATCGTGATGGAGACCATGACGGTGTCGATGGGATCTGCTGCCTCTGCTGCTGTGTGACGTTGGAAACGAATGTTTAGGATGATCGGAAGGGAGAGAGTTTCGAGAGAAGAAAAGAGAGCTCTTGGATTCGTTCGATATCCACCTCTGTGTCTATCTGTCTGTTCTAGGGGAGAAGCCGTTCGTCTGTTACGCGGATCCCAACTGCGGGATGGGTTTCCACAAAAAAGAGAAATTGGCTGATCATATGCTGACGGTGCACATGGGTGCGGGCTCGGCGTTGGCGGGAGTAGCACAGCCCGCTCAACGGGAAACCACCCGCAAGCCCCGAAAGCCTTCCCATCCGCAGCCAACGCATCAAAGCAGCTCTAATGCGTTTCTAACGGGCGACGCCGGAGTCGCTGCCGAACGCAACCTACAGTACAGCTGCCTCAAGTGCGGCCAGGCGTTCTCGGCCCTCAAGTGGCTTCAGAAACATAAATGCACCTACGCTGCCGCGGCCGCCGCTGCTCTACTCCAGGCTTCAGGAGCTCACAGCTTCCTGTACGCTTCGTTCCGATACGGTAGAGAGAGAAATCGACAATAGAACCAGAGACACAACAGAGTTTTCGTGAATCGCTCACAGATGAACTTGAAGACGGACGAATGCAAGCGTGTGTGAATGTGTTCATAGATCATAGCGAATAGAAACATTTCCGTAGGAAGGACGTGCTGTACCAATAAGACACATCGGGTCAAACTCGTATGAGTGTCTAGGTCTTGATTCGAAAGAGGAGCCGAGGCTCATTTTGGTTCCGAGGATCAGTTCTCCCTAAGTTGTCCAGAGGGTTCTTCCTGCAGGCCAGTTCCAGGGAGACCTCGCTCAGACCGATTCACAGCAATCGGAACTTGGGCAGACAATTTTTCGTTTTCCGTCCCTCCCGACTTTTCTGATCTGCATCACCGCATTGTATACCCCAGATCGTGTGCGAGAGTAGGATACGAGCGAGAGAGAGAGTACCAAGAGAGAGAGAGTTCAATACTTGACTCTGAAAGAGTTTTCCGAGAAAATTCGGAGTGACATGTTTTGTCTCGGGTTGTCGAAACTTAGCACTCGTTACATATATTTTCTATCGGAACTCAGATCATATGCCTATCTCGAAGAGTCCCCGCTCTTCTATCGGGCACTGTTCCCGATTGATTTACAATCTAACTTTGCTCTGATTGCAGACCCCCCTTCGTCGAGGGGACGCCAGTCGGGGTCAGCGGCATCGGGGGCGGTGGCGCTTCAGGGAGCGGGCATGGCGGGAACGCAAGCGGGTCAGCCGTCAGCAACACAGGCACAAACGGGCCAACAGCTAATGGGCAGCAACAACAACAACAGCAGCAACAACAACAACAACAACCCGCTGAATCACCACCAACATCTAGCGCACAGCTCCCTACAACACATGCAGGGCCATATGCAGTCAGTGTCAACAGCGCCCACGGCTCCGCAACAAGCGGCTCCGGTGACCACCAACCCTCTTGCAGCGCCACCGCCTTTCCCGGCTATTTCTACGGGAACACCGGCAACTATGGATCAGGACCTCCAACAAATCATCATGAACCCCATATTTCGATCTCAGCTTCCAACATTCTTGAATGCAGCCGCTCTGCAGCAAGTCACTCAACAGGCCCATCAGGTAAACACCACGCGCGCTCTCCTTCCTTTCATACGCTGAAAGGGAGAGAGGGGGAGAGACGCACGTGATTGCTCACTGATTGATATATTTCGCATTTTTCGCCTCCAGTTTCCAAACGAGCGTTTTTTTTAACATCGAAACTTCCGGTTCTAGGCCAGTCAACATCTACAACAGGGCGGTCGAGTCCCAGAGGCCTCGGGGGGCTCTCCCGGGAACCCCAGTCCACAGGGTCCCGGACAACCCCAGGGCCAGGATCAGTGCAGTCCCAATCCCGCGACTCCTCGGAGGGACAAGAATCAATCTCCGCCACCCGGAACACCGCAGGGGAACGGCGGCCAAAGCAGCAGTCAGAACACCAGCGTCCAGGAGAACAACCTTATTCAAGCGGTAGCGCGTCAGGCTCTCCTTCAATCCCATCAAACAAACAGCCTCTTGAAATAAGCTAAAGCTTGCTTCTTGGCGGATAATGTCCTCTCGTTGAGGAATAGTAGGAATGAACTCGTACCTTAACACCTCGTCTCGAGGTTCGAATCCAAGTGCCATCATTCGTTCGCTGTGATTCTTCCGTCGCGAACGACGAAGAACAGCCCGAAACGCTTGAGGCGACCGAGTGAAGACAGATCTCCGCGGCCGTGTCAGCCCCCTTGCGAACCAGGGAAATCAGGACCATGTGAGATATGCAATATTATACAAGAGTCCGGGCTGATACGACATTTCATTGAATGACGAACGGCTGTATTGTTGATAGACCCCAGAAGATTTCTGATACGACTCATAAGACGTGCCATAAAGCTGGTGTGACTGTTCTAACGGAAGAAAGTTACTGAGACGAATATGCCTGCCGAAAATGAGAAATTACAACGGTGGAATGCCACCAGACCAATGGTTGAACCCTGAGAAACTGACCGGTGATCTCAGATCTACATTAAATACTCCAAGATCTGCACCTTCGCGACTAACGTCTCATCGACGATTCGTCGAGGACACGGGGGATTTTCGAGGATTTCCGAACGCGCATTTCCGTCATCATGATTGTAGGTCTACGTGGGTGCGAACATCTCCGTGAATTCTCAACGGGTGGACGCCAACCCAGGCTAGTTCGATGTCAGCGTGAGACGATGGATTTGCGACGTTTGCCACGAATGCCCCAGCTCTACAAACTCAGAGTGCATCGCAGCCGTGAAGCCAAACCGACTGAAGAGACTTATTGCCTGTCTGATTGGAAACAGAAACTGTTTGATCAGAACCATTAAAGCCAGCCTCATCCCATGCCTACCCTTCTCCTCGTCCTCGTAAACCTCTACGATCCAGATTTTCCGGTAGAAAAACTGCATCCAAAGTGAACTTCGTGAGACTGAGAAAGCAAGAGAAGCGAAGCCCAAGAACGTCTGAGTGAATGTGTTTTTAGAAAACCCTCCGTGATCTACGTGGTATTTTCTGTGCACAGCGTCCCTCGTTCTAGAAACGGAAGAGACGAATAGGAAGGAGAAACCGATGAGAAGAGAACAAATTGGGTGTAAATGTGTGTGCCATAGGAACCTCGCACACACTTATCATTACGAATGGATGAATATTTATATATCTATATATCGAAGCGTATATATGAATATATATGTCGTAGTTCGCCCCTAATAATTCGCCACTGAAAACTCGGCTACCCTGGACACCCTCCGAACGCGACAGCTTTCAACGCTGCCGTCAGAGGAGGGACGTCTCTGGGGTAGACCGGACCAGCCAAGATGTCGCCTGAAATATCGAGAACAACCGAACATCCCAAATCAATGACCTTTCTCTGTTGACGCGCTCGCGCATGCGAATACCTCTGCGTACGCTCGTCGGAAATACTATCGGAGAGAATGGTCCAATAATTGTCCAGTGATGAGCTTACTGCTCCTGTGAAGCGCCGCGAATCTCTATCCTTCCATGATATGCGAGGTCCAGTTGACCCGGAGGACGACGATGACACCTCCGTCAGGATATGTTGTTTCAACATCGATGTTTGACCAGATGTGTTCTTTCATGGTATCATTCATTAATTCATCCATCCATCCATCCATAAATCCATCCGAGACTCCGCATCAACAACTTCCGAGCAGGCGACCGACTGGGCGAGCCAACGGCTCACTCGTCGCTTGCTCGACCGACGACTTGAACGTGCATTCGCTGGCAACCTGCTGAGTGCTTGCGAACACGGAAACCTACGAACGAGAAACGAAACTTCGTGCACGAATCGGATCTTTCGCCGTAATCCAATGAGAGGCAACCCGTTTGCTAAATGGCAGGATACCTATCGAATTATTCCCTCTCTTTATGATATTATCGCACATACGTAGACAAACCAAAAACCAAATCAAGTGTCAGATATTGAAATCTATAGCATTAGAGAATGGTGGAAATGATGATGATTATTGAGTACAGTGATTATCGGTGTGGTCGATGACGATATAAAGAATCTAATAAAACGAATGTCACTGTATTTCCAACGAGATACTCGAAATCGCAAGATTGAATGATTTATCGAAGGGCGCTTGGGGTATTCGGAATCAGCCTCCGTTAACCTTGAGAGCGTTTTCCGAACATTCTCTAAGATGTAATCGTCAGCTTTAGAAATTGAGGAATGTAAGTTCGAGCCTGCGCCCTTGGAAATCTAGACAAACCAAGATCATCATGTTAGGGAAGGGACAAGGCTGTTCGCGGTCCCAGATGCCTTTAGGTAGACTTACGTTGAGGTCTACGCAGACCGAGTTCTGGGCTTCGAGTACTCACACAACGGGTTAGCCTTCTTCAGAAAAGAGACCGCTCGATTGGAGGTCCGAAGGTCCCGACCCGTTCGAAGCAAGCGAGATTATGATTGATTATCAGGTTGACACCTTATTTATTCCAATAAATGAAAGACGGAATTTCCGAAATCTCGTATTCATTCACAGATCACGAATCTCCCATCGGGTGAAGATCGGGGAATAATCGTCTTGAAATCCCAAGCAAACCGGCGGGACTCTTCCTCCTAGAATGGTCGCTGAATCGGGAGTCGCCGAGGTTTCCCCCCATCAGGACATGCAGGACGTCGCTGCCAAGTAGACATCCTGGCGACCCAGATTCGACTCGACTGACTCCACGCAGTTCCCCTCGAAGGAGGAGAAAGCAGAGTCACCACCAGGGTCGTCTATACCAGAGTTTGCCCCGTCGGGTTTTACCTTCCTTCCGGGACGCAAGCTTGCCCTAATGTCGCTGTCACGATCCGCTTCGCGCATATCGTTTTCGTCCTGCATTAGCGAAGCGCAGCCGCCAGACTTCGTCAACGCAACGCCACCGACAACGTGTGAGGGGGAGCGCGATTATTCAGGCGTCCTCTCTCTCCGCAATCCTGCAGGAATACGATTCTTTCTCTTCACAGGAAGTGTCTGGACCCAAATCCGTACTGGAAATGTATCCATCCTCCTCTCTGCGGGAAGCCCCAAGCAAATAATCTGAGAGAAGCTATCCCTTCTCATACGGAAGCAGAGTGTCAATTATTTTTGCACTTCATTGTTCAGAGACCGAGACATCCAGTTCCGAAGGAGTGCTCGCTCGGGCAAGTGGACGGTGTAGAGCACGGTCGGACGGTCATGACGACCATAGGACAAAAATACTGTCTCCTGCTGTTGTTGGCAATCGCCGTTACGCCAGCGTTGTCTGTGAACAACGACCTGGAATCATCGAAGTCGAAGGGGCATTTTTCGAGCAGCCCGGCCGAGACCCATAAAGTGGGATCTCCTCTGGGGGATCCTGTGAACTCCGAACAGGAACAATCTTCACTCGTCGTGAGACACCCTCGGGACACTAGACTTCGTCCCCAAGCTGCCAAAGATGTGGAAGCATCGAAATCCGGCATGTTCGAGGCCAAGTTCAAGGACAGAGGCGACACTGAAGGTGAGTCTCCGACAGTAGTCTACTGCGATTATTCATTCGGAAGATCACCTCATACGACGCTGTAGCGCTGTTATTACGCTTTCATGTAGGAGCTACCTAGTACTTCCTATCTATTTGTCGACGATCGATGCCAGCAAGACTCAAACAGACTGTCTCGACATACGTCTCGCTTCTGAACTTCCAGGCGCAGTGGGTCGTGCAGGAGATACCGATGCGGAGATCGGAGCCGGGAGCCGAGCCGGGGGGGTAAGGAACGGCAAGAAAGCACGACGAACCCATAAGCACAAGTCCAAGGAGGAACGATCGGGTTACGCCGAGGATTCCAATGATCGATCGGATTACGATACCTCCGATCAAGATAATTACGATCATCACGAGCGACATGCCGATTTCGCGCATTATGCACTCAACGACTTGAAACATGCGGGTCACAGCGTCGAGGAACAAGCAAACTATGAATACCGCAGCGACGATCACGCCGGGTTCGAAGATCATGATCGACACGCCAGCCACGATCACCATGCGGAACACGCCAACTATGATCATGATCGCGAGAATGACGCCGACTTCGACGGCGCAGCGATTGGCGATGAGCGTGGTGAATACGATGGAGGGCACGGCGAGTACGAAGACGAGCAGGGTGAGTACGATGAGCAACGAGATGAGTACGATGAGGGGGCTGACGGATACGACGACGAGCCCGAAGATTACGATGCAGAGCATGAATACTACGATGACGAAGACAGCGGATACGACGACGATCAGAGCGGATACGATGACGGAAGGAATGCCGTCGAGGCGGAAGACGGAACCTACGACGGCGAACGCGCAGAATACGATTCCGAAGTGGAATACGGAGATCACGACGGACCTCATGACGACGCGGACTTCGACAGCGAGGACGCCGATTACGACGACGGGAACGATGCCGAGTCCGAAACCGCATTTATTGAAGACTTCGAGTCTGAGGACCAATCGGACTTCGACGCAGAGCAAGACGGAAACTACGATGCAACAGATCCTCGTGTAGGCGACTTCGGCGAAGCAAGCTTCCACGCTGACGACGATGGAGAAGGCCTTGTCGCGTCAGTCAATGGTCGCAGGGTAAAGCGATCGAGCGCCAAGAGACGATCTGCCTCGATGTCTGGTCACCTGCCTTATCCACTCTTGCGGAAGCAGCGCAATGCAGAGACGGTAACTCAACCTAAGTATCCACAAATCCGCAACAAGGCTCAAGTGAATTCTCGCCAAGATCGCCACGGATTCGGCCGTGAGAAACGTCTCGAGCCCGCACATTTGGAGCATGCAAAAGTAGCTCGCCAGAAGCGTCAAGTTCTCAATCGCCAGCAACGTCGAGTCAATGCCCCTCGAAAAAGTTCCATCCACTCCCGCCAGAAACGAGATTTCCCGCACGGACGGGCACATGCAGCTGTGGATAAAGCGCCTCTTAGTGCACCCTGAGTAATAGATTTTCCCCAATAAAAGTTTAAGGAGATTAGAAAAGCGTGCTCGATCTCAAGGGGCCTTATCCGTTGACTCGGGTCGTGCGTCAAACCGCGCGAATATTTTAGTCTAGGGGCAGTCTGTATAAACGGGCAGTTTCGAGAGTTCTAAAACCAGACGGGTACGCCCGCCAGTCGTATCACTCACGGTATGCCGACTCAAAATTTCACCGGGAAGAGCAATATGTTCTCTAGTCCAGTTATCGAGATTGCAATCCTTGACAGGTGGGATAATTCGATTTTTGGCGCCGTCGGGCGGTTCGGTCAAACGCTGGAGAGCCCATGCTGATGCGGACATAATTTTGCTCCTCTCCACCGATTCTCGAAAATTGTCATGGAATGTCCTTGAGTAGAGGGAAAAAATTCTCGATAGCGACGAACGTAAACCCTGGAATGAGTCATCTGTATCGTCTCGATTGAGGGAATAGTCTCCACAAGAATCGGTGGACAGCTGGAAACTCCAGGGAAATATCAAAAAATTCTTCGAGACTCCCCCAGGTTCTTCCTGAAATACGCAGCTGGGTGGAGCACTCAATTTCGCATTTTCGCGCCTCAGGGAATCCATAGTCATCGTCGCTCTTCTTCTAGAATCAGCTCGCTGTCGGACCGGGCTGATCAACGGCGCAGCGGCTGCGATCTCTTAAGTCTGTTTCCAGCGACGACCGGGGAGAGTCGGTATTCGTCCGAAGACAACGATTCGAGCGCTTTTCTTCTATTTGTGGTGCCAGCAGCGAGCCATTGTAAATAAGTACGAGGACCCTTTCTCCAAACATTTTCCTTAGAGGGCGGCAAGCTCGCACGGATGCTATCGTTACGAGACCGAATAACAGTTTGGCGTTTGCTAGGAGTCAATTCTGAGCGCACTCCGGAGGTGTCTCCCGCCTATCGATACGATCTTCTCGCTTACAGTAACCGCGAAGCCATTCGTCACTGAGAGACTCTGCGCCCGCGAGAGACTTGACGACCGTTTGTTGAGCGCGTTTGGCGTCAGCGAAAATCGAAAGCGAATCCCGGAGGTGACAGTTCGCTCTCACAGAGTCGAAAATGGGCGCGAAAGGGTCCCTAAACGCTCTGTGGATGGCCATGTGGGCAGTGCTCCTCGTGTTCATGGCAACTTGGGTAGCCGGTGGCGCAGCCGTTGTGTGAGTACCCGCTTAAAGACACTCAAGTTTTCAAGATCTCCGAGGAGTTCGGAGGCCGACGGGAGCTCTCACCCGTTTCGGAATTCCAATTCCGATTCCGACCTTATCGCTAGCTCACTCCCTCGGCGAAATCTCTCGCGCTCGCTCCGCCTCAATAGATCCGCCGGAGACTACATTGAATCGATAATTCGGAACTCGATCACGATAGCGGAATCTGGTCTCGAGCATGTGACTGACGTGGAGTTGATCCGAACTAGTTCTTGCGGGAACGACTCATTTTCGAGTCAATACGGCTCTTCCCAGACCACAGAGAACTTACGAAAGAGTTCCGAAAGAGCGCTCGTTCCATCTGTCATCCTCAATATTTTTATGCGGAAGACAGAGCGTTCAGACTCGTCCACGCAACGTTTCACCAAGTGGGTGACTAGGCTGTCTGAATGAAATCGTTCGATTGAATCTACGACGATTCCGCGAATCAACAAAGGGTCGTCTCGAGAGGCGCAGAGGCATTGTGCACCCTAATGAATTACTCGCAGGAAGAGACAACGATTTCTATGGGACCAATGACGAATGACCCAACATGGCTCCGATCTTTGTAAACGTGCTCTATCTCACAAAACGGCGAGGAGCATATCCGGAAGCTCTTTGTCTCTGGACAGTTCCCAGAAGCGCTCATGAATTGTCTTGTAATTTCCAGGTACATCACACTGTACGTTTTCGTACCTTGTGTGCCGGGCATTAAAGACTTGAACGCCAAAATCCACAAGCTGCTCCTCCTTCCGTACTACTGTTCCGATAATTTCATGCACGCCAGAGGCTTCATGGAGGGCATACATTTCATCATGGAGGGTTCAGCCCCCTCTTGAGCCGAGTCTTCTACAAACTTCATGGAGCCTCCTCGCTGAGGCGCGGTCCAATAATAATAATAAATTCCCCGATTCGTTGACAACAGAATAATTTCCAGAACATCCAAGATCCCTTGCAGCTGCTCATAGTGCATTCCTATCGAGTTGTGGTTACCGAAAAAGCCCTGACAATAGGTCGTTTGGTCGCTCTTTCGGACAAGGGGCTTGAATCAACTCCAACCAACGGTACCTGAAAGGGGGGATGAGGGAGTCAGGGGTACGAACCCAGAGGGAACGAACTGAGCCTTATCGGTGCACCGTGACTCTAAAACGCAGCTCCGAAGACGCACGCTTACAGTCTCACGCCGAGGTGGCCGGCTCCCTCGATCGAGGTCATATCGTAGAATGTGATATTTTCTAGAGCCGCGTCCTCCACCTCCAAAGATTAGCGTTTCGGTCGAGTGACCCTCGTCGATTATACGGCTAGACGGATGTGCGGTCTCGTACAGGAGCCTGAGTTGCGCCAGTAGTTTTGGAATATCGGTGACGAGCGAGCAATAATCACTCCGCTCCATGATTAGCAAGATCAGCAGGAGATACTGCATCGAGGAGTTTTCCGGAGGCACGGGAACTGAGGCTAGTCCGAAAACCCCGTTGAAATTAGCGATTCCGCTTTGAATCCCGGCATACGACCTCAAGTCTGTCACGCGCCGGGTGGAGGTTGGTTCGGAGTGCCGCAATTTCGCTCGAAGAATCGCCGCACCCTGCAATTATTGGAGATTCACGAATACATCAACAAATCGCCATATTACTAACGCCATAGCGGAGGGAATGGGTGCGAGCCGAATCTCACCGCTCGTCAACAGCCCGCAGGTCGAATCTTGAGTCCACCAGAAAGCAAATCAGAACATCAACGTATCTGAGCATCGCGCGATTTTTGTTCGACTTCCTGCCTTTTTCTTCCGGAGATCCGAGCCAAAGATGTTGCTAATGCTTGACAGGAAAACAGAAAGCGGACATTCATTGGCGGGGACATCTTGCGAGCCGACGAGGTGTCTTAGACACGTTTATTGGAGATATTCGGCTCGAACTACGATCCCTTTCGCTTAGGGCGATAACTTGTCCTCGAGAACCGATCCACGCGAATGACTTGGAACCTTGAGGATTTCGAGAATGAGGCCGGAGAGTTTTCAGTGGGAGACATTCTTGCCAAGTATTTCGCTCACGGGACTTCTTCGAGAAACGTTCTCCTCGATTTCCCCTAAAATATCGGAGATGCGGAGGGATGTCCCACTAGCGAAATGGGAAGTCCCGGTGTCACCTACGAAAAAACTTTCTGGCTCCATCCCCGAAATCCGTGGGGTGTCCCAACCATTCGTTCCAGAGGCCAAGTTTTTTCAGATTGACTGGACGAAAGTCTCGAGATTCACTGTTAACTCTACAACTGTGAGGAGCTGGATGATGTCTCTGGATTCTGGAGTCGTAACCGACTGAGTCGCTGGTGCCTTTCCCGGTGCCTGAGATAATTATCACCAGTTCTCCCCAGGTAGAGGAATAACCGTTCTAATATTGAATGGAATAGCTCTCCTGAAGATACAGCTCTTTGCAGTCAAGTGTGAGGACGAAGGAGAAAATCGGAATATTCTGTGTATCAAGACAGAACAAAGACCTGTCGCGGAAGCGGTTAGCCGGAACGCTATTCGAGGCGGGTCTGGCGATGTCTCGGACTCCGTCAGTTTCAGGACTGCCCGTTCTGGGAGCTCCCGTCGGTTGCTCCTCTGAATCACCCCATCAATTGATAGTAATGATCGGGATCTGAACCAGCACGGGCCGTAGCACCGTATTCCGACAGGCTATCAGACCACTCTCGTGCTTGCTCTGTATGTATTACGCAACGGAGACACCGGAACATCATTAAACCGGATCGTGGGATCGAGTGGTGCATCCCCCGAATCGTAGACTCTAGAATACGATGCAGCGGAGCAACTGTGATTTTTGCGGGAGGCATTGCTCTCACTGGGTACTTGCAAGACTTTCCTCTATTCGTTCATCCCAACTCCCTGGAATGTTTGTGCTTTCTCTAATCAATCAAGTCGTATCAAACAGCAAATCAGTGTGACACCGAAGATGGACGAGCGAGCGGAGCGAAGTCGTCGGGGGTCGCGTCCGATTTTCGTGGAAGGTTTTAGGTGTCTGGATTCGGGTGGATGAGAGCTTCGTACGGAATCATCAACACCGCCATATGTCTCTCGAAAAGAGATGCTCCGAGTGCGTTCCCAATGATGAGGTATTTCGGGACGACCGCGAATGCTTTCCGGGGGATTGCAAATGAGTCGCTCAGCGCAACGAGAACGCCACGATCGAAGGTTTGTGTTATTTCTCGCAATATTCTGGAGGTGAGCGAGCAGGAGGGGGGAGTGGAATTGCCCCTCCCGTCGGTAAGTTCATTGTGCGGGTATCGCTGTACGCTCGACCTACCGTCAGCCTACCGAGCTGCCGTGTCAATTCATCCTGAAAGAATCAGCCATGGAAATCGCTTCTTTTGGGGCACCCTCGACGGATTATCGGCTGTGCTCCGGGAATCTCGAAACATGTGATTTAATCGCGAGCGACCGAGATATAGCGCGAGAATCTCGGTAGAAACC